GTCTACCTTATTTGTTTTAGCTTATGGGGAAGATAGTATGTTTTCGACTGTAAGTGTAAAGATATTCTGGAAATTGTTATCACAGTTAGGGAACTGAATGTCAATAATAACAGATAATTTCAGCGAATAAAAAATGTTAATGTTAAGAAACATCAGCAATATTACAGCTACACCAAGGGCGCCAAAAACGATGTAGTTCAAACGTGTTATTATTTTAAGTGCTCACGTACGACAATCCTGTTTTGCGTAAAATACTTTCGGAAATGGAAATAGCGGTAACACATGCTTATCAAAGTTATATACGTACTTTATCTTGATTTCCACACTATTCAATATATCTCCATGGAAACGTGCGAAAACAGCACGTGTTCGTAAACTTCCTGACATAAGCTTGCCTGCTGGTGTCAAGTGACTGTGACCTTTATTCAGAATGGACATCTCTCTGATTTCTTCTGAGAATACAGCGTTCAAGAATTTTTGTGATGAACATATCCTTTGTAGATTTAAAGCTTAGATTTGATATAAGAGATACACATTTAGATCTTGGATATGTTATATATGTTTTACCTGAACCTTGGAAGAAGACTATAAAGGAATATGGATACATAAACATCAATGATCTCGATATAAATTCTCTCCAACAAGATTTCATATCCCCAAGGAAAGGTTCAAGATTATTCTATGATAAATTGTTATCTGAAAATGTTAAACCTCATATTTGCCCAAAATGGGAAACATCATTTGATTGTATTGATTGGCATATGATTTTTTATATTTCCAGAAAGAATTTAAGAGTTGTGACACTGTTAGATTTTCAATATTAATTTCTACACGGAATTGTTTATACCAAAAAAGAAATGCCTATATATAATGAATCTTGTTGACAATACAATGTGTTCTATTTGTAATATTTCTAGTGAGACTTTATGCCATGTATATTGGGAATGTGGCGAAACCAAAACTTTTTGGAAGAAACACGAACAGTTGAATACGGAACGTATTCAGGAACTTAATTTGATAAAACTTTGATTTGGTTTGGCATTTTAGGTAAGAACCCATAACTGAATTACATAATCGTCTATGCTAAAAGATATATTTACACTTGCTCTTTGAAAAAAACTCCAAAAATTCCAAAAGTTGATAATTACTTAAGGATATTGAAAGATATATTCACCACTGAAACATTCATTTCCAGAAGAAATACTAATTTTGAAAGCTTTTCAGCCAAATGGTTTCCTCTCATCCCAGAATGTAATCCTGAACTATTTAACCAAACCATATTGCGGTTGATATTGATATTGAATGTATTATATCTCTATTGAACCCACAAGCTGTACACATATTTTTGTGTATGCTTGTATTCAACCTATTGGGAACAATAAAAAAGTGACTGTGACATCGTTACATTGTTTCGGGTCAGAGAAACTATTTTAAAAAATAATAAAACATTAACATCTATTGCATAATATATTCTAGAAATACAGCTGGGAGTTTGCATCTTGTCAGAAATGGAAGGTAATGCAATTTTTAGGATCATCTTATATAATCTTTACCACAGTAAATATTGACATTTCGTTCAAATGCCGGTTAATTTTGAATATGTAGAACAATAAAGGCAGTGGCGCATTAGTTTATATACAGTACAACCAGAAATTATTGAGAATTTAAAGATTGTAATTTTTTTATTTTTTTCACTCATTACTCACGTATTAAATGTGAATATTAGCAGAACATAACTCCAGATTCAAAGACAGGTGAACAGTTAGTATTTTGTCAAGTCACCATGGGCAGCAATGCAGGCTTCAATGCGGCGGGGCATACTACTGATCAAAGAAGTTAGAAAGTCGTGGTCCATGCTGTCCCATTATCGGACCACCTCTTCTTTCATTTCAGCAATATTTGTCAGATTTTTCTTATTGACACTTTCCTTCATAAGTCCCCAAACATTTTCTATTGGATTTAGGTAAGGGCTATAGCTTGGCAATTTTAAAGTCATATTTTGGGTCCGAAACCAGGCCTGTGAATGCTTTGAACGATGTTTTGGGTCGTTGTCCTGCTGGAAAATCAAAAAATTTCCATAGAACACGTGAGCAGATGGAAGTAAATGTCCCTCGAGAATATCTGTGTACCGCTCACTGTTCATATTCCCTTCAAATACACAAAGGGGCGTTGCCCCTAGCACAGATATGCCACCCCACACGTTAAATTTCGGACTGTAGTTTGGGCGCTGATACAAAGGTTTTTCAGTTTGTTTGGTCCAGAATGTCAGTGTATTAGGAAACAGCCACACAGAACTTTCATCTGAGAAAATCACATTGTCCCAGTTAAAATTTCTATGCTGTAAGCACCAGTTCAACCTTCGCTCCTTTTGTTCAGGTTTCATGATCGGTGATGGAATTCCTCGACTTTTCTGCCAACCCATTGCATGCAGCTCAGTTCTAATTGTCTCCTTACAGACAGCCACAGTTTCTCTATCAATCATAACCAGCCTTAAGTTTTCTAAACTCCTTCGTTTGTTTTTAGAAACAAGAATACCAAGCCGCCTCCTGTCACCGACAGTCAATTTTCTGGGCCTACATGCGCCTCCCTGGTGCTCAATGCCATATCCATTTGCAATATTTTTCAAAACACGATAAACAGTGGACAAAGGGATGCCTGTTCTACTTGAAATCACTTTAGCTGATCTGATGTCCTTGTTATAATACTCTAAAATCAACTTCCTCTTCTTTAAATCATCCATACTGAGGATCACTGAAAATGGCGTCTGCTACCAAGTAAACAAAGGGGGATAACTCTTCACAAACTAATGGAAAAGGATTAACGGTGTTGTCTCTCTTGAATGACACCAAGCACTTGATAGCTGGTCAAGGTTGTTTATAATAGAAATCCAATTAAACATATTCCTAAAATTCTCAATATTTTCTGGTCATACTATATATAAAAAATCAAAATTGTATATGTTTGTATTGTTGACTTTATTTTACATTACGAGAATCTTTCTATAAACATAAAACAACAATCACATAAGATAAACCAGCATCTAATGCTGTGTTGTTGGGCAATGAGTTGTTGCTGTGGTATTGTCGGCCATACTGCGGTCGTTCTTTATGACCTCTCTGTTGATGAGGGGCGATGGGGTAGCCTAGTGGTTAAAGCGTTCGCTCGTCACACCGAAGACCCGGGTTCGATTGTCCACATGGGTACATTGTGTGAAGCCCCTATTTCTGGTATCCCCGTCGTGATATTGCTGGAATATTGCTAAAAGCGGGGTAAAACCATACTCACTCACTCACTCACTCGTTCGTGTGGAGAGTGGTACTGATGTGTCGCTTCTCCATTGTCCATACGTCACAGGCTTGTACATGCTATGTCCAATACAGTCCATCAGCTCTTTGCGGGTTTTTTTTAAACCAAACTACCTCCTTCATTCAGTGGCGATCTGCTACAGATAAGGACTTAAGGTTATTTCAAGAAGTGTGGAGTACTTTCATAACGACACGCGAGTGGGTTGCACTTTTGTAAACAACTTGTGAGGTGTGTCTGACAAAACCAGGAAACAAAGCAATGGATCATTCATTCTATATTTCAATCGATGTACCAACAGATAATGTCAGCAATGTTTATAAAAAAGTCATTTGAAATTGGACGTAAAATATTTTTCTTCACATCAATGAATACATAGACATCTCCATGAATCCTATGTATTGTTACCAGAAATTATGTTCATTTCTGTAAATGGTTTCTGTCCGATTAAAGATTGGACTTGAATCCATTTTTCAATCTCGTGCATGTTTAGTCTTTCACCACTAGCTGGCCCAAACTCTGTAGTTCTTACCAAAACAATTAAACTTTCACATTTTCGTGAAAAGCGTAAAATCATTCACAACTTGTTTTAGAAATATGTAGCCCGGATAGTCTACTTCTACATGTATTTCAGGAATAAACTACATCTAGCACATGCCATAAATGGAGAATAGAGATCGTTACCTCTCGTCATTTGTCTTTGGAAAACTTCAACATCCTGTGGAGCTAGGCACAGGGACGATAAACCATTGCGATCAATCGAATGAAGCAAAATGTGAAATGCCAATATTGGGTAATTGCAGTTGAGCTCTCCACTTCCGGGTCTGAGTCGTTGACAGTTTCTAGAACGCTTGATCCACCTGCTTGTAAATAACAGCGAGATGAACGACTCGACGATGTCTACGATCTGATTTGTGACGTACCTACATTCCAGTGCGGACGGGATACCTACCAGGAAGGATAGATATTACTGTCCGCTTCAAACACTTTCCTGGAGTCAGGAACGGTGCACATGCGTCTTTGAGTGAGTGAGTGAGTTAAGTTTTACGCCGCTTTTAACCATATTCCAGCTATATCACGGCGGGGGACCACCAGAAATGGGCTTCACACATTGTACCCATGTGAGGAATCGAACCCGGGTCTTCGGCGTGACGAGCGAAAGCTTTAACCACTAGGCTACCCCACCGCCCCTGTGTCTTTGAAAACATTCCAAATATTCTGGATATTCGTGAAAACACTGATTTGACTTCTTGCAGCTGCGACGTTTTTGACTCTTTGCATTGCCCTCGTTGGTTTGATTTGTTGGATACAGGTAGTGACCACTCTGCTGAGTATGTATTCACTGGTATATATACCATTAAAAAAGGATTGGATATTCCATTTTTCGAGCATACCACTAGCTAATGCATATGAGAAAAAGTAATATATATCCATACAGATGAAACATTTCCAAAGGAATGGAATAAATTGTCACATTTTCCCTTAATTTCTCTTCATCCTCTGTTTCCTCCTTGGCTTCATCATTTGTATTTTACTAATCTTGTAAATCCAATATCCCTACTTTTTTTGAATGGTATATCAGCCCGTGTTGTATTGACGACGTTGATGTATTGAAACTTAGTGAATGACAGATTGTGCGACACGGTTAGAATCCTACTCGTATCATATCAAAGCTTTGTTGTACTCAACTCAAGGCAATATATTGTATTGTTTTATTTCGCTTACATTGATGAAAATATGACATGTTCACGCATATTATTCTCACTTCCTTCATACGAAGTCTATGAGTTCGCCGAATGTTCGACTTATCCAAGCAATCGGTTCATCACTTCTATACCCTCTGTAATCAGATGCAGGACGGCATCGCGAGCTGAAACAGATGCGTCAGTGTCATTTCATAATAGAATATTTCCTACGAATATTGTCGGCCTTTTTAGATAATATTGAAACACATTTAATGTTGTCTGATTGCAATAAATGTGAGTATATTTTAACATATTTCGATTATGTTCAGTTCCAAACATCTTTTGTATATCTTACGATTACTATAAAAAAACAATATCAGCCAAGCCAGGGACGGTGAGGTAGCCTAGCTATCGTCACGGCAAAGACCCGGGTCCGATCCCTTGAATGTGTCTTATGCGTGAAGCCGATATCCGTGAAATTGCTAAAACTCACTCAGCCAAGCTAAATCGTGAGTGTATCAGAGTGTATTCCAAGCATCACTGAATATTTGACAAGAGTAAGACGTTTACCACTGTGATAATAACCCATGAGCACGGATGTGGGGTGCCGACAAACCTAGAAACATTATCAGGGTGAATTGATTCTTAATATACTGAGAGAAACAAATAAAAGAACACAGGAAAATTCAAGCATCCCTTTAATATTTTCCAGTTTTCATCACCCGTTTTGAATAGCGCTGTGGGAGGAAATCTGAGAATAAATACAGGAACGCTGCCATGAAGTGGTGTTCTCTTATTTGTTTTCCTCAGTATCCGTTTCTGCCAAGGATTGCACAGCGTATTCCGGTTCCTCCATGACACACCTTTCACCCTGAAAATCCATCTGGATTTGAAACACATCAGGAAAAGACGGGTGTACTCTTACCTTCAGCGTTACCATTCGGGCTGGCAAACGTATCGTGCATGCTTGGGTATTTCACTCGGACTTCTTGAAGGACGTGAATAATGTCAGCATCATCGTCAGAGTCGAAGCTAGAAGTGGATTCGTTCACATCCGAGTGCTTCGCCTTGTTGTCTGTTATCATGTACTTCTTATTGTTCAGCTTTGGCGCATTGTCCATAGCAAACCGGAAAGATGAGAAGTCAAGGCCTAGGAAGTACTGCATGACCTTTACAAAGTTGATGGGGAAGTTGGACATCGTCCGGAAGGCTTTCTCCAATGGTCGCCAGTTGGCAACGAAGAATTCAAACAATTCCAGCAAATGCCTGTTCTTTCGTTTGGAACTTCCAGCAACAGCATATTTGTCGGTGTCCAGGATATCGCCAGTGTCCAGCTTCTTCCCAGTAATCATATTCCAGATGTTGGTTATGTTTGGATGTGGTTCCTTCATCTTGTCCTTAATCAACTGGGCCTGTTTGTTAGCGGTAGCAGCATTGTCCACAGCATTGAACATGTTCTCCGACTTCATGGTGGCAAGTTTAAACAGGTCGAAGAGATTTGGAGTCTGTCCTTTGGCAAGAGCAAGGACGATCCTGAGTTCTACGTTTGTCTTGGCCGCGTCATCAATGATTTGTCCACATATTGGGCAGAGTTTGAAGACATTCTGTACGAGCTGGCCAATGAGGTTCTGCTCTCCCAGTAAGTGCTGAAGCTCTGTGAAGTCGAGGCCGGATTTCTCTACCATGCTCTTCAGGATTGGAATGTTCTCGAACGTTTTGAGTAGGTTCGACACCATAACGTTACCCCCGTTGTTGGCATCATCATCCAGAGCAGGAAGGACACTTTGCTTTATGGGAGAAGCTTGGATGCCACTGCATACTGTAAGATATGAGAGATATTAAGAGAAAACGGTTTTCAAAATCACCAAACCAAGATGTTCAATTTTTAATCATCTTTGCATGTTCCATCTTTTATACTAAAATACTAGACCCATTTTCATCCACAGCTTTGTTCTCATAGCTAAGAGAAGAACTCGCACAGAAATCTTTTGGGAAGTTGAATTGATAACCATCTTAGCGTCGTACTCAAGATGGAGTTTTAGTAGCGAATAGGTCTATTTTATGTACTATAGGAGACTGAAACCACATGCTGTGTGATCGGGGATATTGTTATATTACAGAAAAAGATACTTTTCAAATCAGAATAAGACTGAGACTGAGTGAGTTTGATTATACGCCGCTTTTAGCAATATTCCAGCAATATCACGGCGGGGAACACCAGAAATGGGCTTAACACGTTTTGCCCATGTGGGGAATCGAACCCGGGTCCTCGGCGTGACGAGCGAACGCTTTAACCACTAGGCTACCCCAACGCCCCAATCAGAATAAGAAGCAACAGGCTCCATGGGTCGAATGTTTGATGGATTGTTCACTAGGGCTACTGGGATATACTAGAGGTGAGGTGAGGTGAAATTGGGTTTAACGTCGTGCTTGAGAATATTTCGTTCATATGACGACGTGCATGCGTTTGTATGTGTATGTGCGGCTGCTTGTACTAGCCAAGACTGAAGCTGGTTTTATAGTGCTAGCCCACTGAGATACCATGCCGCAGTGAAGCATGAATACCCCACTCAGACACATTATACTGACTCCGAGCCGACCAGTCCTTGATGTACCCATTAATGCCGAGTGCCAGGCAGGGACCAACAAGTACCATATTTCAACGTCTTTTGGTATGACGCGGTCGGGGATCGAACCCGCGACCTTCCGCTCTCCGGGCGGACGCTCTAACCACTACACCACGAAGGCGGTCAGATATACTAGAAACTGAAGTACTGTCTACAGCGATGAGAAGCCCACGATGACAAGGATCAGTGGCATCAGGTGAAACAGACGGAAACGTGGATCGCAAACCAAGGATGATAGTCGGGATTTACTAAAATCTGTGATTCAAACCCATTAAAAAGCACATCCAGCACTATTAAGGAACGCAACTCGCAGATTGAACAGCGGCCTGTCATACCACTGGACCATTCATGCATCAAGAACATGCAGGGAACAAACACATAAATGACTAAGTGCTGCGATTAATTGCATTGAACAATATATAATGTACGGCCTTGTAAAACTATGGACATACATTATTCAAAATCATTTAATCCTTGTCAATAGAGACATGTGAGCTTGCACTGAACACAGCCACTTCAAGATATACATACCGATCAAGCAAACAAGTGACACCTGAAAGAACCCCATCCTGGAGGGACAAGATCAATGTCCAAATGGAAGCAAAAAGTTCCAAGGCTTAGTTAAATGTAAGTGACATCCAAGGTTAAGGTTAATCTATCAAGGTGGGTGACCCGTGTCTTTATCGCGTAACACCTGATCACTTCCCATAAAAAGGTTTTTATGTGTTTTAGTGGAATTTCGAGAATATAATGCGGTGCAAGTTGTCTGCTTTGAAACCATGACGAACTCACGGTGTTGCTGTAGCAGTTCATACAAAGCCATTAACTCACGGCCCATTTGGAACATGCATGTAACCGTCGCCGCTGGAGGGCATTATGCAAAACTAGAGAGACATTATACACCAACCAGAACATGGTTTAGGGAGAGAAAACACTTGTATCTGTATACAGATTCCGGTATGAACAGAATAAATTGAACATTGATAACTCGATTATTTATTCGTTAATATACCACGCCGAGTCGACAAATACACTTAAGTTTTTCACTTTACGTAAAATCCTGCTGTTGTCATCGCCTGCACGGTTTATGAAGGCCACGTGGTCGTATGCCCACCAATTCAAATAGAGAACGTCAATGCTAACGAATACCCAATCCTGGAAAAAAATAGCAGTGAACATTATATGAATGGATAACTAAAACTGAATGGATAACTGAAACTTAGCGATGACGCAAAGTGATCGTGAAAATCTCAACGCAAGATGAGTTAACTAAATATGAAACAGGTATTATTCCAAGGAAAAAGCATAACCGCAACTTGAAAGTCTGGCAGTTGCCCAGGTTGCCCGATCGCCAATAGAGCTGAGTGACGTCCTTTGTGGTTGCTGCGATCCGTCTGTCCAGAGTTGCCTGCCTTTGGAGTGCCAGAAGCCGGGTTCAAATCTCAGATTTGCCCTGATCACGTGGGATTCACCAAAGCAGTAACTATCTATTTGCCAGCTTTAATTGTGACCCACAGAGTAAAAGAAGCACATTGGCTTACGGAATATTTGATTGCACTTGAATTTACCGTTACCATGGGATCATAGCTTGTGACATCATGTTTGCAACTGTTTGCAGCCGTGACCCTAATCGCCATCACACAAAGTCAGCTATCTAAAAATACAGCCACCGCGGCTTTGTGCGCTCGCGATTATTCTGACTGAGTGAGTTTGGTTTTACGCCGCTTTTTAGCAATATTCCAGCAACATCACGGCGGGGGACACCAGAAATGGGCTTACATACATACATACATACAAATATTTGTAAAGCGCTTTTTATCAATCTAATTGCTCAAAAGCGCTATCTGAGTCCACTTTATCCATGTGCAGAGGTGAATAGGTGCGTCTTGAGTCCACTTTTAAAATTTGACAGTTCTGTTGGAAGGGTCCTGCTCTAGAGAAAGACCTGTCCCCATATGACTTAGTTCTAGTTTGTGGTATTTCAAGGAGAGACTGGTCCCTTGAGCGGAGTGATCTAGTTGGGTGATATGGTGTAAGGAGATCCGAGAGGTATTTTGGAGCTAGACCGTTTAGACACTTGAAAACAAGGAGCAGGATTTTGTAGTCGATTCTGGAAGCGGATTGGAAGCCAATGTAGGGTTTTGAGGGGCAGGAGAGATGTGTTCAGTCCTTTTAATTTGACAGATCAATCGTGCGGCGGAATTTTGTACCTTCTGTAGCCTGTAGAGGACTTGTTTTGGCACACCAGACAGCAAAGAGTTACAATAATCCAAGCGGGATGTTACATATGCTTGAACTACAGCTTTGTGCAGATTTCACATCAAGTATCGACGGATCAAACCAATGTTGCGCAGATGGAAATAACATTGGCGACAGACATTGCGAACATGGGGTTCCATGCTGAGGGCAGAGTCAAAGATTACACCAAGATTGCGAACATGTGGCCGAATTTTTATTGCAGATTCACCGATGCAAAACTGTGGAAGCAGAAGCTTTTTCTGAAGTCGAAGAGGGTGGAACACAATGAGCTCAGTTTTATCATCATTTAATTTAAGATATTTCGATGACATCCAACTCTTGATACAATCAACACATTCTTCTACTCTTGAAAAGGAGAACTTGGTTGAAGATGCGTCAGATGGCTTGAAGGATAAGTAGACTTGCGTGTCATCAGCATAGAGGTGCATACTCAAGTTGTAGGACCTTACAATATCACCGAGGGAAGATGTGTAGCATGTGAAAAGTAGGGGCCTAGGACGGAGCCCCTGAGGCACTCAAACTTCAAGTACGTTGCCTCTGACCTTTCACCCTGGATGACAACTGCGTGCCTCCGGTCTGTTAAGTAGGAGACAAAACCACCTCAATGCAAGATCTTTGACATTGAACCTGTTTTCAAGGGTAGAGAGTAGCACAGAATGGTCAACAGTGTCAAAAGCAGCTGAGAGATCCAGCAATACAAGAATGACCGCTCCATCGGTGTCTATGCCTCTTAGGATGTCGTTCTGAACCTGCAGCAACGCAGCAGTTTCCGTGCTGTGGAAGGATCGGTAGGCAGATTGGCACTCTTCATAGAAGCTGTTTCTGCTCATATGGTCTCTGAATTGAGAAGCAACAATGCGCTCAATCAGCTTAGAAATGAATGTCAAATTGGATATTGGTCTGTAGTGTTTTAACAATTCGTGATCGAGATTCTTCTTCTTTATGAGGGGAGTGATAATTGCTGTCTTCAGTTGATCAGGCATTACACCTTGGCTTAGCGAACTGTTGGTGATATACGTCCAGATAGGAAGAAGAGATTGAATGGTTTGTTTCAAGACCCACGTTGGTGATGGGTCAAGCAAACATGATTTCGCTGGACATTTGGAGACAAGTTTGGACATTTCATCTTCCATCACAGATCTAAACGAGGACAAAGGAAGGGAGTTCGTGATTACTGGAACTTCACACATTCTGCCCATGTGGGATTCGAACCCGGGTCTTCGGCGTGACGAGCCAACGCTTTAACCTTTAGGCTATCCCACCGCCCCGCTCGCGATTAGATGACTGACTGAGAGTGAGGGTTCGAATCCTGGATGAGACTCAACCCAACAAAAGAACTAGAATCTGTACTTTACTGAGAAAGTGTAATCCCAAATATAACATCCGTCCAGCACTGGTGGTGTTCGTGAAGATGCTGACAGTTCTGTTCTGTTGACATGCCTACCAACTAAATGATTATTGGTTTTAAAATGGCGAATAATTTAGACTTGAATATTTTTTAAATCATGAACATGAGTACAAAATGCACACGTACGTAACATCTGACTGAGTGATGCACCTCTTCTTTCTATCACAGCCCACCACTGACCGACATCACAGGTGGACATGTTTGGATGGCTGAAGACACGTCAACTGGACGGGTTATAGCTGAAACGCCCCCAAATTGGCTAAAACGGCCCCAAATGTTTTGGCTGAAATGGCCCCATGACTAAACGGCTCCAAGTGAAAACGGCCCTATATTTGCCAAAATGGCCCCAAAATAATCAGTTTTATATTAATGTGTGTCCTTAGTCATAAATGATAGATCAAAACACATATTTTTCAATTACTTATTAAATTAATTAACTTTGACATTTTCATCATGATTTTCTTCTGTTTAACTGGCCATGAGGCCAATAATACATGTGGAAGATATGAATCAAACGAATTGAATACTGTACAGATCGTCTAACAATATTCACTAGAATTTAAGTTTGACAAATAAAACATTAGATTTCAGAATCAGAATTCAAATTGTTAAAAACACATCCATACCATGAAGTCACACATACAGTCATTAAAACAACATTGAAGTAGCAGTTGCCTTGTCGAGTGAATCCTGACAGCGCTGGTGTTTTGACAAACATTAGCAATAGTACATAAATGAATATGATAAAATATAAGTCTATGAACTCAAGACTATGGCATTGTGTTCTCTGTGTCAATGATATACAGTACTTATTGATGGGGATAGCTGGTTACTGTACATTCACAATGACACAACGCTGTGTGGTTTGCAATAAGACCATCCGGAAAAAAACATGCTCTAAAATCCATGCAACTATAAGGACAGTTACTTCAACGTAAACATTCAAAGCAATGGACAGTTTCAACACAACTCCATATGAAATGTACAGTTTGATTTTTCGACGATAACTGAAAAAATACTGACGCATTAAAGCCTAAACTCTAAATGAAGGCCTAAAACAACTATTTCTAAGAAAAAAGTCGTGTTTGCTGATGAGGTTGTCATATTTCGTGTTGAAACAATCATTTCCCGCGATCTTGATTAGACACTCAGGAGGGGTGCCCTCGCTTAACACACAATTGCAGTAAATAGAGAGGGTGTCAAGCAATTACAGAAAGAACCATTGGAAGTTTATTGTCTGTGTCTTTATTCTATTTAATACCCATTATGTAACTTCATATTACACTAAGATTGAAAACAAATACATGGTCAAGCACGTTAATGGTACTGCTGTGTGTGCCGCAAGGAGTGTATTGTTAGGACTTTTTTCTGTTTTCAATATGTTACATGTCAATATAAATGCTCAAATATATTTCACGTCTTTTTTTTGCAATTGTACAGGGTCATTTCAAGCAATCTCTGGCTGTTTTCACTTAGCAACATCGGGGCCGTTTTGCACAGGGGCCGTTTTAGCCAATTTGGGGCCGTTTTAGCCAAGCAAAATTGGGGCCGTTTTGCAATGGGGCCATTTTAGCCTGATCTCTGTATAGATGTATATATATATATATGGTTACATCAAAAGATGAATTTCTCCAACAACTTCGGGAACCAACTGCAAACTTTATGCAGATAAATTGCACGAGGATCATGCATCAAATTGCTGAAAAGCATGTGCAAATATTGTGCATGTGAACAGCTGCGTTTTGGTGTAATATTTTGCTTAGAATTCGCCAATTTTCACTCAGTTTCATCATTTATTAATTGAACTCATGACAATAATCTTTTCAACGTTAGGAATTTGTTTTACAATACATCAGTTCATGTGTAATCAGTACCTTTAAACAGTATGGAATATTTTGCAAATCTAGTTCAGAACAGTTGACTGCAGTAAGTGGCTACATTTACACTGAGTCTAAACTTTTGATGGGAAGTATATAACTCAACTCCACATTGTATCAGTTGTTGACACATGAGCAAACAAGGTATCCTGTTGCAGTGATATGTGACAGTGTTACCATCTGGGATGAGGCTTACAAGAGGTCGGGGTGTGAGCATCTACATCAACAACACATTACCAAACAAGGTATCCTGTTGCAGTGATATGTGACAGTGTTACCATCTGGGATGAGGCTTACAAGAGGTCGGGGTGTGAGCATCTACATCAACAACACATTACCAAACAAGGTATCCTGTTGCAGTGATATGTGACAGTGTTACCATCTGGGATGAGGCTTACAAGAGGTCGGGGTGTGAGCATCTACATCAACAACACATTACCAAACAAGGTATCCTGTTGCAGTGATATGTGACAGTGTTACCATCTGGGATGAGGCTTAAAAGTGGTCGATGGTGTGAGCACCTACATCAACAACACATCACCAAACAAGGTTTCATGTTGCAGTGATATCTCACAGTGTTACCATCTGGGAAGAGGCATAAAAGTGGTCAAAGGTGTGAGCATCTACATCAACAACACATCACCAAACAAGGTTTCATGTTGCAGTGATATCTCACAGTGTTACCATCAGGGAAGAGGCATAAAAGTGGTCGAAGGTGTGAGCTACATCAACAACACATCACCAAACGAGGTTTCATGTTGCAGTGATATCTCACAGTGTTACCATCAGGGAAGAGGCATAAAAGTGGTCGAAGGTGTGAGCACCTACATCAACAACACATCACCAAACAAGGTTTCATGTTGCAGTGATATCTCACAGTGTTACCATCAGGGAAGAGGCTTTAAAGTGGTCGAAGGTGTGAGCATCTACATCACCAACACATCACCAAACAAGGTTTCATGTTGCAGTGATATCTCACAGTGTTACCATCTGGGAAGAGGCATAAAAGTGGTCGATGGTGTGAGCACCTACATCAACAACACATCACCAAACAAGGTTTCATGTTGCAGTGATATCTCACAGTGTTACCATCAGGGAAGAGGCTTTAAAGTGGTCGAAGGTGTGAGCATCTACATCACCAACACATCACCAAACAAGGTTTCATGTTGCAGTGATATCTCACAGTGTTACCATCTGGGAAGAGGCATAAAAGTGAATTAGATGGTGTGAGCACCTACATCAACAACACATCACCAAACAAGGTTTCATGTTGCAGTGATATCTCACAGTGTTACCATCTGGGAAGAGGGCATAAAGGAGTGGTCGAAGGTGTGAGCACCTACATCAACAACACATCACCAAACAAAGGTTTCATGTTGCAGTGATATCTCACAGTGTTACCATCAGGGAAGAGGCATAAAAGTGGTCGAAGGTGTGAGCTACATCAACAACACATCACCAAACGAGGTTTCATGTTGCAGTGATATCTCACAGTGTTACCATCAGGGAAGAGGCATAAAAGTGGTCGATGGTGTGAGCACCTACATCAACAACACATCACCAAACAAGGTTTCATGTTGCAGTGATATCTCACAGTGTTGCCATCAGGGAAGAGGCATAAAAGTGGTCGATGGTGTGAGCACCTACATCAACAACACATCACCAAACAAGGTTTCATGTTGCAGTGATATCTCACAGTGTTACCATCTGGGAAGAGGCTTAAAAGTGGTCGATGGTGTGAGCACCTACATCAACAACACATCACCAAACAAGGTTTCATGTTGCAGTGATATCTCACAGTGTTACCATCAGGGAAGAGGCTTAAAAGTGGTCGAAGGTGTGAGAATCTACATCATCCAGGTAGGATGATAAAATTAATCCGCAACAACTTACAACAACTGTCAGAAGTTGCTGAGCATCACATCCAGATACTAGTACTTGGGCCAACTGAGCGTACAAGGTTTTGAGTTGCAGTGAAATATCAAAGTGTTACCACCAGTGAAGAAAGAGGCTTACAAGAGGTCGGGCCGTGAGCATCTACATCACCCAGGTAGGATGATAAACTCAATCCGCAACAATTGTCAGAAGTAGCTGTGCATTACATCCATATAACTGGTACAAAGGTTTTGAGTTGCAGTGATATCAAAGTGCTACCACCAGTGAAGAAAGAGGCACAAGTTGTTGAAGGTGTGAGCATCTACATCCCTTAGGTAGGATGACAAACTCGATCTGCAACAACTGCAGATTTTAGTAGTCCCTGACTTGTGCATCACATCCATAGTGGGGACCACTGTGACCATCTGATCACCAGTGTAGTCAACATGTGACAGTACTGCCTGTAGTCCTGAGTATTTACCTGTGGTAAATGGTATTTACAGGATCACTATTCACCTTGTTAAATACAGAGAAATACACTGAAGCACAGGCTTCCAAGGCTTGAATAGTTCTGTCTGGTCTGCTGATTCCAAATGTTTATCAGATTTCAGTGTACGTGCTCCGCCACTCAAACATATTTCTTTCTCTATCTGGATCAGCTGTTCCCATTGTGCTTGCCAGGGCGAGAAGAACATCGCTCTGAAACATAGGAGAACATCAAACACTGGAACGTCAAGCAGGAAAACATCACAGATGGAATTTTTTCTGAAACAAAGGACACCTAAAACACAGGAGAACTTTTCAATGAATCACACCACAGGAGAACAACACACAGAACATCACTCTAAAACACAAACGAATCACACAGGAGAACATCCTCTGAAACAGTAGAGAACATCACACAGAAGAACATTCCTCTAAAACAGAAGAGTACATCACACAGGAGAACATCCCTCTAAAACAGAAGAGAACATCACACCGAACATCTGCCTGAAACAGAAGAGAACATCACACAGGAGAACATTCCTCCGAAACAGAAGAGAACATCACACCGAACATTTGTCTGAAACACAAGAGAACATCACACAGAAGAACATCCCTCTGAAACAGAAGAGAACATCACACCGAACATTTGTCTGAAACACAAGAGAACATCACACAGAAGAACATTCCTCTGAAACAGAAGAGAACATCACACCGAACATTTGTCTGAAACACAAGAGAACATCACACAGAAGAACATCCCTCTGAAACAGAAGAGAACATCACACCGAACATTTGTCTGAAACACAAGAGAACATCACACAGGAGAACATCCCTCTGAAACAGAAGAGAACATCACACCAAACATTTGTCTGCAACAGAAGAGAACATCACACAGGAGAACATCCCTCTGAAACAGAAGAGAACATCACACAGGAGAACATTTGTCTGAAACACAAGAGAACATCACACAGGAGAACATCCCTCTGAAACAGAAGAGAACATCACCCAAACATTTGTCTGAAACACAAGAGAACATCACACAGGAGAACATCCCTCTGAAACAGAAGAGAACATCACACCGAACATTTGTCTGAAACACAAGAGAACATCACACAGGAGAACATTCCTCTGACACAGAAGAGAACATCACACAGGAGAACATTCCTCTGACACAGAAGAGAACATCACACAGAAGAACATTCCTCTGAAACAGAAGGGAACATCACACCGAACATCTGCCTGAAACAGAAGAGAACATCACACAGAAGAACATTCCTCTGAAACAGAAGGGAACATCACACCGAACATTTGTCTGAAACAGAAGAGAACATCACACAGGAGAACATTCCTCTACAGAAGAGAACATCACACAGGGGAACATTCTTCTGAAACAGTAGAGAACATCACACAGGAGAACATTCCTCTACAGAAGAGAACATCACACAGGAGAACATCCCTCTGAATCGGAAGAGAACATCACACAGGGAAATATTCTTCTGAAACAGTAGAGAACATCACACAGGAGAACATTCCTCTGAATCAGAAGAGAACATCACACAGAACATCAAATTCAACCACACGCAAATACCACTCTCAAACACAAAATCTCACTGAGAACATCGTAAAGCAGAACATCACAGAGTAAACCTACCATTTCAATGTCCGGCTCCAACAATTTCTTGGCATCCACGTCCATCCAATTCATCTGTACAGCTCCTTCATCATCATGGTGACATGGCATCCAGTAATCTTCAATCTTAGTCACTGGGTGTGTCATCTGAATGGAAATAACCTTTCATTGTTTTGGGGTTTTTTTCACTTTATTTCTTTCTTGCATTGGCACAGTTATATCCTTCATACACAACACTATTCAAATACATAGCACAATTAAAACAAGCATAAGTGAGATCATATAGATTATGTAAATAGGTTGTGGCATGATGACCAAAAAGTCGTGAACTTGCTATATTTTCATACAGAGTATGCAGTGTTCACGAATGGTGTTTCAAAGAAACAGGACATTGGGTCCTGTAAGTTTAAGATGTCTGTCTGACCCACTGAAAATTCACAGGACCCATGGAATAAAATTAAACACACATTTCATATTTAACATTTCTTATAATTGGCATTGAAATTATTAACAAACATAAGAAAAATTAAGATAACATAAACAGCAAACAAGTGTCACATCTCACATATAACAACTTCAGTCAAAGTCATTGTGAAATATACAGTCGGACACTGGGGCCGGTGGGTTGTAGACTTCTATCAGACCATTGGCGAATCTGCCGGATTTGTCAGAGGGTCAGACACTATTCGCGAACACTGAGTATGCATTGTATTGATGGAGATGGTAACTGTGGTTTAATTTGGCTTTGAGACTTTCAAGGATTCGACGTATATTTGCTTGTTTTCTGGAATATATAATGTAATTTTCTGACTAAAATTGATATTTTATACTTATCCTGACTCATGCTAATTATGCTTGTCTCCTTCCTCTTGAGAATGATAGTGGAACACTTGAAATCCCTTGAAGTTCCCTTTAAAAAAGCGGACGTAAAATCACTCACCCAGAGTAGCGTCCCTTTCCTCTCTTTGGCGCCCTTTTGGTCACCCGACAGACCATGCCTTGTCACTCTCCGTATGAATGCCCGACACCCGGGATTTACAGGGAAATCCAGAGTGCCATAAGAGTGGAGGTTGGGAGGGCTAACCTCATGAGTCAGGATAAGTATAAAATATCATATTTAGTCAGAAAATTACATATTTTTCCTTATCCTGACTTATGCTAATTATGCTTTCAAAATCCGTCGGAAACGTTGGTGGGTCAGGCCATGTTCTGGATTCACTAGTTGTAGATTTACGTCCTGTATTACCCCCCATGGGAACTTATGACGGCACTGTTGAAGATTCTGTTCTTTCAACTTTTCTCTGATGAGTCTGGGGGGATTTCGTGTGGATTTAGATATACTCATATTCCATTAGTTATCTATTGCAACTCCATCTCTTGATGCGCGCATCAAGTAGAGATGCGACCCTTCTTCATGTACGAGTATGTCCTATACAAGTACAGGGTCTATCACTCATGCTAGTCTGTCCTAGACGTGTGCATGACAATGCTGCCTGTGGTCACTGAAATGGTATTTACAGGATCATTATTCACCTTGTTAAACACAGAGCACTCTTGTTAGATAAAGAGCACTGAAATGCAGGCTTCCAAGGCTTGAATAGTTCTTAGAGATTTACTAGCCATCCTTAAGTACTGTCAGAAATGCTAGAAAAATGCTTTTTAGCCTTAATATCTTTATAAAGGTGATAAATATACTATGTTGTCAATATATCAACTCGCCTATAGTATACCTAATTTTTATTTCAATCGATTTAACATTCCCATGCATTTAAAGGGCAGTTTACAGGACAGAATTTGGTACCAAAACAGCAACTTTAAGATTTTTTCAGAGTTCAACAACAGAAATCTGAAATAGTCTTTACATTTATGCTAATAATACAGGTGGTGTAAAAATATAAATTAACGTTTTTCTTAAACAAATAAATGTTGAATGTTTGTGTTACTTTACTTAATTATCATTTCTTTATTGAAGAAATATTAATATAAATGATAAGTCTTGATAAATAAGTTTCCCGTCATGCATGCACATCTTTATCACGTACAGCGTCCACTATGGCCAACGATTTGCAGTCGATTATTGCAAAGGTTTATAAGTTTTTACTGCTTGAAAAAGACAGAGGTAAACCTTTCATTAGTTTAGAAAGGGTTTATTACAGAACTTGTAGAGCTGTTGGTATGTCTTACCAACGAGTTTACAATATTGTAAACAAATCAGACAAGACAGGGGCCGTCTCAAAAGCAAAACCGGGACGTAAAACCATCCTTGACAACTTTGACAAGGGAGTGCTTAGACGGGCGGTCTACAAACTTTATGAGAAGAAGAATATATATATTCTAAAGAAGCTACACCAGTGACTTCGTTAAATCTTTGGCCAATGTTCACAACTAGATTAAACTGACCGAATTACATCCATATTTTTTCAATGAAATATACTGTTGACATGCAAAACATTTATTAAAACGTTCCACATTTCTACAATCAATCGATAAGATAACACAAGTGATAGGATTCTTTCCAATGTACAGTAATTCGTATGTTTATTTCAAAACAAACACACATACACATAACCAATACGTATACTATACGTACACATATTCAACATTTTGCAGAAAACATCTATTGAGATGGCCCCTCCCCCGAGCGTGTGCTCAGGTGTCAATTTCACCTGTCGATACCGTGCATGCTGATGATGTAACACAGGCAGTTAATGTTTGTATCAAAAAACGTCCCACTACCCCTTATTTTTCTAAGTTTTTGATATTTTCATCAGTAAAAACACATTTTACAGCATGTCTCAAATTTTATTCCCTCGGTCTACATTAGGTAGATGTTTCTTGAAGTGATATTTGTTATTCAAATAACTGTAATACCTCTGAATTTTAAATATAAGTCAAAAAGCATTTTTCTAGCATTTCCGACAGTACTTTAGTTCAGTGAGCAGCCTGATGGTGAAGTCTAATTGCAGTCTGAGTTGACTGGGATCTTGATAAGCTTGAATCCCGTCGTCCAGGTAGATTGCACTGCGTAGACCTCGAAGATGTAAATATGTGACGATGGGCTGGGTCACTCAAGTAAACAACCAGGGGGCCGACGATTTTCCAAACAGTAGAACCTTCCACTGGAAGTGATGTCCGTTGAACAGGAATCGTAGGTATTTCCTTGAGTCTGGATGTATCAGATGTGGAGGTACGCATCTTGCAGATCTATGCTGGAGAGGTAGTCTGCTGGACGAAAGAGATGTCGGAGCTGAGGAAGATGTAACATCTTGAATTTTGCTGGTCTGCGTAGATACACCTGGTTGAACTTCCTCGTGTTGTAAATGAGCTGAAATTTCTCCTTGGAATTCTTCTTCTGTACCAGGAAAATTGGGGAGTAGAAACCGGGCATGATGAGATCTTGATCTATCTCTTCTACTGCCTCTTTCTTGAGCAGGGTCTTGATAGCGTCGTCCAGTTTCTCTACCTGGTCGGCTGCATAGTTGAAGGCCATCGGGTTGCTTGGGAGCGGCGGGGTGGCTTCCAACTGTATCTTGTACCCTCTGCGTAGTATCTGGGACACATAGTCGTCTTGTAGAATTCCCCAATTTTCCCAGTATCGTTGAAGACGTCCACCCACTGTTGAAGGTTGTACAGGAACGGCTGGAGGTGGAAGACTCCAGTCGTTCCGAACCTGGCCTTCAGCACTTGATTCCTCTTGCACCCCTAGGTGCTCGGCCTCTTCCGGGGTTACCTCTAGGAGCTCCGGTTGGGCGACGAAAGGAGCCTTTCCTCCTTTCATGCTGGAATACTTCTTTTATCTGGCTCTCTGAACTCCTGCAAACTTGGATTTGTTGGAGTACTGTTGGGATGTCTGACAAATCACATTAGCCAAGGTGTCGATGGATTTAATCATCATAACCTCCCTCGAGTCGTGAGAGACTTCTCTGGCTTATCGGAGAATATGCCTTCACCTTCTTCTTCTGATTTGGACATCTCTCGCTCTAAGGATCCACGATGACTTGAGTCTCTATGAGATGATCTGTATGAGGAGCTTCACGCAGGCGAGCGATCCTGATGCGATCGTGTATCCTTTCTGGAGTCTTGAGATGATTCTCTAGGTCTTCGTGAAGGTGGGTTTCTGGACGTAGCTTCCCCTCTGTAGGAGTGCCTTCGTGCAGCTTCTCGATGGGCGTCAGAGTCCGATGGAGATGAAGACTCATATCTGCGATATCTATGGGGTTCAGGAGAACGCCTCGATTTCTTCCTGCGGGTGGTGACTTCTAAGCAGCAATCTCTGGAGCGTCTACAGCTGAACTGACGTTGGTAGCGGCGTGTCCAGACTACTCACTTCAGATGGGGAAGATCGTCGTGTCCGTGAGCCTTCGCGCAGGCTTCCCTTGTCATCCGGATGCGGTGGAGAGAGTGTAGAACCTTCACTCAATCTAGTAGTCGTTGTAGAGGTCTTCATAGCAGCCTTCTCCTGAGCGAAGCGACGTTCCACAGCATCATCTGGTCTGTACACTGTTGCATGAACAGTCCCAGGTTGAAGTTCTGCGTTGTCTGAAGAGACTGCTGCAGGGATGATGCATCTGATACTGAAGAGACGTCATCTAAGGCTCACTACACTTGTGAAGAGTTGACGCTGCTGCTATCTCCGGTACCCGATGTCTGCGTTGATAGAAGGTTTTCTGTCAATGTCTGCGTTGATAACAATGCCGATGTAGCTGTAGAAGCAGGCTTCGTCTTCTTACTGACGATGGAGACTTCCGGTATGAGGATGGGTGGATCATCATAAACATCTGCTTCTTCCGGAGGAACAACCTCGGCTGAGAAAGACCTCGTCTTCTGCGTAGAGCTGAGCATATACTTCGATGAAGTCTTCAAGGTAGTAGCCTTCTTCTTCTGCGTAGAAGATGATTTAGCTTTCTTCATCTGCGACGAGGTCAGCTCAGTAGGCGATGATATCTTATGGCCTCCGGCCTTCACCACTGGTACATCGAACTGCTCCCGAGAAACGTTCGGCAATTCACTGGAATTATGAATGTCTGCAGCAGCGGTTAACACACGGTTATCAGCTCAATCACTCGATTTAGACATGACTTGTGAATACCTACGTACCCAGTCCTTAGCACGTCTATGGATGGAAAAAAGGTTATTAGTAAATTCAACAGAGGTTAAATTTACACAAAACTTACAGCGAGAGCTGAATGAACATGAAATAGTGCATTTAGGACATAATAAATGAGGGTCAGCCGCAGACACTCTGTACCTACAACGAATACAGGTTTTCATCAAATGTAAACACAATGAAAACACAAGTCAAACATCGGAAAATTTAGATCAAATTTCAAACCATAATGTAGAATATAATCCTAAAAACCGTATACAGCAATAATTTTGATGTAAGGTCCGAAAATATAAAACGATATGTGCCGTATAGGGACCCAGGTGCTCTCACAACCGTCCTCAAGGGCGAAGAAGGAGAGAGTGACAAGGCATGGTCGGTCAGGTGACCAAAAGGGCGCCAAAGGGAGGAAAGGGACGCTACTCTGGGTGAGTGATTTTACATCCGCTTTTTTAAAGGGAACTTCAAGGGATTTCAAGTGTTCCACTATCATTCGCAAGGGGAAGGAGACAAGCATAATTAGCATGAGTCAGGATAAAGAAAAATTATTCCTTTGTTATGATAAATATCAAGTTCAAAACATCATTACGTTTTTCATGAAAGCCCAAAAGGACTGTTTTCGGATCCATGTTTATAGTAGTGTCTGTTTTATCTTCAATCCAATTTAAAAGGTCTTGCCACAGCCTATTTACGTATCTGCATTCAAACATCAAATGAACAATGGTTTCTTTTTCAGCCTTGCAAAAAGTACATAGTGGTGATTCTATTATATTATAATTGTATAGGTCTTTATTGGTTGTGAGAATTTTTCCTTAGTGTTATGAAAAGCTCTAAATGGTATAAAATGATAGGTATTTCATAAGTCAGGTAGAAAATTGTGATGAAGGTCTTTTTCCCCATTTACATTGATATCCTAAACTTGGAATAGATTTAACCTTGTTTAGTAGTGTTGCGTTGGAAATATTGCAGCCTTTCTTATTTTCATAGAGTATTTTTACATTCGAGTTAATAAAAGGTAAATGTCTTTGCTTTGTCAGTATGGTAGCTTCTTGTTTTGAATATTGTTTTATTGAAGATAATATTCCCGCATATTCTAAGAAATTTGTCTCTACTCTATACATCTGTTTAAACTCAGTGAAAGACAGAAAGGATTCATCATCTTTTAGTACGTCATTTAAGTAGTGTTCATATAATATAGATTTGTTTCCAATTTTCATATTGTTATTTGCCCAAATATAGTGTTTACAAAAGTCGGATTTCATATATGGGTACCGTTCTTGTAAATCAGGCCAAGCTTCCAGAACATCTTTCCAGAAAAGGTTTTTAAGTTTTGGGATGATGTGTGTTTTCAGGTAATTTGAGCCCATTTCTATTGGGTTTGTATTTTTTACCGTGTTATTTAGGATATTGTTGAATTTAGAGTTTGTTGTAAATAACCTTCTTATCCATGATATTTTTTTAGATTTTATAGTTTCTAGTATATATCTGGAACTTTCAAGCTGCCTTCTTCATAGTTTCTGATTATCTTTTAATTTTGTCTGGTTTGCCTCTCCAAATAAATCACGAAGATCTTTCTGGCGTTGATAGTAGGTCTTCTGTCAATGTCTGCGTTGATAACAATGCCGATGTAGCTGTAGAAGCAGGCCGTCTTCTTACTGACGATGGAGACTTCAGGTATGAGGATGGGTGGATCATCATAAACATCTGCTTCTTCGGAGGAACAACCTCGGCTGAAAGACCTGGCGTCTTCTGCGTAGAGAGCTGAGGCATATACTTCGATGAAGTCTTCAAGGTAGTAGCCCTTCTTCTGGCGTAGAAGATGATTTAGCTTTCTTCATCTGCGGCATTTAGGTCAGCTCAGTAAGGCGAAGATCTCTTATGGCCTCCGGCCTTCACCACTAATTTTTATCGAACTGCTCAGCGTTCGGCAATTCACTGGAATTATGAATGTCTGCAGCAGCGGCTAACACCACGGTTATCAGCTCAATCACTCGATTTAGACATGACTTGTGAATACCTCGTACCCAGTCCTTATGCGTCTATGGATGGAAAAAAGGTTATTAGTAAATTCAACAGAGGTTAAATTTACACAAAACTTTAGCGAGAGCTGAATGAACATGAAATAGTGCATTTAGGACATAATAAATGAGGGTCAGCCGCAGACACTCTGAACCTACAAGCGAATACAGGTTTTCATCAAATGTAAACACAATGAAAACACAAGTCAAACATAGGAAAATTTAGATCAAATTTCAAACCATAATGTAGAATATAATCCTAAAAACCGTTATGCAGCAATAATTTTGATGTAAGGTCCAAAAATATAAAACGATATGTGCCGTATAGGGACCCAGGTGCTCTCACAACCGTCCTCAAGGGCGAAGAAGGAGAGAGTAACAAGGCATGGTCGGTCAGGTGACCAAAAGGGCGCCAAAGGGAGGAAAGGAGGGACGCTACTCTGGGTGAGTGATTTTATGTCCGCGTTTTTAAAGGGAACTTCAAGGGATTTCAAGTGTTCCACTATCATTGGCAAGGGGAAGGAGACAAGCATAATTAGCATGAGTCAGGATAAAGAAAAATTATTCCTTTGTTATGATAAATATCAAGTTCAAAACATCATTCGTTTTCATGAAAGCCCAAAAGGACTGTTTTGGGATCCATGTTTATAGTAGTGTCTGTTTTATCTTCAATCCAATTTAAAAGGTCTTGCCACAGCCTATTTACGTATCTGCATTCAAACACCAAATGAACAATGGTTTCTTTTTCAGCCTTGCAAAAAGTACATAGTGGTGATTCTATTATATTATAATTGTATAGGTCTTTATTGGTTGTGAGAATCTTTCCTTAGTGTTGTGAAAAGCTCTAAATGGTATAAAATGATAGGTATTTCATAAGTCAGGTAGAAAATTGTGATGAAGGTCTTTTTCCCATTTACATTGATATCCTAAACTTGGAATAGATGTAACCTTGTTTAGTAGCGTTGTGTTGGAAATATTGCAGCCTTTCTTATTTTCATAGAGTATTTTTACATTCGGGTGAATAAAGGGTAAATGTCTTTGCTTTGTCAATATGGTAGCTTCTTGTTTTGAATATTGTTTTATTGAAGATAATATTCCCAAAGATATTCTAAGAAATTTGTCTCTACTCTATACATCTGTTTAAACTCAGTGAAAGACAGAAAGGATTCATCATCTCTTTTAGTGCGTCATTTTAAGTAGTGTTCATATAATATAGATTTGTTTCCAATTTTCATATTGTTATTTGCCCAAATATAGTGTTTGCAAAAGTCTGATTTCATATAAGAATTACCGTTCTTGTAAATCAGGCAAAGCTTCCAGAACATCTTTCCAGGAAAGGTTTTTAAGTTTTGGGATGATGTGTGTTTTCAGGTAATTTGAGCCCATTTCTATTGGGTTTGTATTTTTTACCGTGTTATTTAGGATATTGTTGAATTTAGAGTTTGTTGTAAATAACCTTCTTATCCATGATATTTTTTTAGATTTTATAGTTTCTAGTATATCTGGAACTTTCAAGCGCCTTCTTCATAGTTTCTGATTATCTTTTAATTTTGTCTGGTTTGCCTATCCAAATAAATGCGAAGATCTTTTTCTGGATTATTTGAATTATATTCATTTTGGGGTTTGGTAGTGAGGAAAATAGATGATTGAGTGTGGGCAATATTAGGCTTTTCAGGATAGTTATTCTGCCGAATGGTGTTATATCTCTTAGTAACCAAAGTTTATAGTTTGTTTCCACCATTTCTGCCTTATTATGTTGAAATAAGATACCTAGCGGTTTGAAAGGTTTTTGCATCCAGTCCAGATTATAGTCTCTGCAATACTGTGTACTTGAGAATTGTTTAGAACCTATCCACACTACTTTAGTTTTATCAATGTTTATTTTCAGACCAGAGAAGGATGCATATTGTTTAAGTACTTCTCATGTTGTTTGAAAAAAACGTTCAGACCCGTCTAAGATTATAGTTGTATCGTCTGCAAACTGTGTTAGCAAATATGCTAAGTCAAGCATTTTTATCCCTTTTATATTGTCATTTTGACGTAACATGTGAGCAAGCATTTCTGCGACTATGAGAAATAGATATGGCGATAGAGGATCACCTTGTCTACAGCCTCTAGTAATGTGGAAGAAGTCTAATGCATAACCATTTATTGAAACGCTAGAATTTATGTTATTGTAAAATGTTTAAATCCAGTGTTTGATTGATGATGGTCCAAAATTAAAAAAGTTAAGACATTTCTCAATAAAAGACCATTCCATGGAATCGAGAGCTTCTTGTATATTCATTGTTGTATTGTTCTAAGATGCTGATGTACCTCAAACATATAGTATCTTCAGTGGTCTTGTAGGAGAAATTTTACTTAAAGTACTAACAGCTCATAGATAGGACTTGACTGACTGAGTTTAGTTTTACGCCGCTTTTAGCAATATTCAAGCAATATCACGGCGGGGAACACCAGAAATTGGCTTCACACATTGTGCCCATGTGGGGAATCGAACCCGGGTCTTTGGCGTGACGAGCCAACGCTTTAACCACTAGGCTACCCCACCGCCCCTCATAGATAGGAAGATAGACAAAAGGCACAAACAATTGAAACTCATTACATGAAGGTGAGCATATAGAAGTTACAAAGCCTATACCTTTCTGAAATACTCTGCTTTTTGAATTCGGCGAATCATCTGCATTATGATGTCCCTGCTCAATACAACCATGTCAGCCTGTGTGAAGCGGTGTCCTCTGAAATATACAATCATTGGAATAATATACACAAAGAACTTAATCAAGCACCCCTGTATTTTTGTCATGATAGGTTTTCAAAACCTCCTTGTTGTGACAATGATGGAAAAACAGTTTTTCTGACCCGCATGATCCTTTGACCCACAGATTTGCTTACAAAACCATGTCTGTACAAGTATGTTCCTGGAATGTTTAATGTGAATTTATTGGTGAATGAGAAAATTCAAAATGTCATCTTGCATGTCTTACACAATTCAAAGTAAATACCCAGTGTAACCTCCAAGTGACTGTATGACAGCCAGCACTCTCCTCCTCATAACCCCTGTCAGCCTCCTGATCCTCTGAATGGGCAGTCTACGCCACACCTCATGTAAAGCAGCTTCCAATTGGGCCAGGTTCTGTACAGGAAGATCCCTTTGTTGCACACAACGCCCAATCATGTCCCAGATATGCTCCAAAGGGTTAAGATCGGAGGTCATTCAATCGTGAGATATGTCAGGGGTGCTTAACTAAGTTCTTTGTGTATATTATTAAACACTTCCTTGTACAAATTCCTTGTTCCCAGTAAACACAATCCTAAGGATATGTGTCCTTTACTAAACAGAGCTTGGGCCAATAGGCAGTCTTTGCAAGCTCATTCAAGACATGTGCCCTTGTGTGTGGTCAACTCTTGAACGCGTCATCCTGTGTGTGATCAACTCACTAACACATCATCTGTCTGTGATCAACACGCAAACATGTGCCCTTGTGTGTGGTCAACTCTTGAACGTGTCATCCTGTGAGTGATCAACTCACTAACACAACATCTGTCTGTGATCAACACGCAAACATATGCCCTGTGTGTGGTCAACTCTTGAACGTGTCATCGTGTGTGTGATCAACTCACTAACACATCATCTGTCTGTGATCAACACGCAAACATGTGTTCGTCTGTGGTTAACACATGTGAACCTGTTGCGTCAGGCTGTGTTGAACACACAAACATGTTCATCTGTGGCAGTTTCAGCAAACAGCGGTTCTTTATCCACCTACCCAACTGATGTAGTTCGGTTCCCTATCTTGTCAAAGTCTTCATAAGTCAGCTTGTGGTTAGTTTCCTCCAGTTGGGCTTTCAAAATATTAATCCGTTCTTCTTTTGTTGGCAGGTGAAAGTAACACCTCATGTAAAGCCTAATATAAGATAGAAAGCCTCATATAAGATAGATGACCAAACTATGCCATTACATATTTCAATATCTCTGTCCAGCACTGTCATTCCATAAATGAGAAAACCTTCCAACACTAAGCCCTTAGACCTATAAAATCATACTTTCGTTTTATCTGTAGTTTTAGACAGACAAATGGAAACATCAAACCCAAAACAAAAAGTCCTTTTCTGCCTCACTCAGCATTATTCCAGATGTGACAGGACAAATATTTGACATTACAGTCTGAAGGAGTCAGTGAGTATAGTTTTTACGCCGCTCTCAGCAATATTCCAGTAATATCATGGCAGGGGAACACCAGTAATATCATGGCAGGGGAACACCAGTAATATCATGGCAGGGGAACACCAGTAATATCATGGCAGGGGAACACCAGTAATATCATGGCGGGGGAACACCAGTAATATCATGGCGGGGGAACACCAGTAATATCATGGCAGGGAACACCAGTAATATCATGGCGCGGGGAACACCAGTAATATCATGGCGGGGAACACCAGTAATATCATGGTGGGGAACACCAGTAATATCATGGCGGGGAACACCAGTAATATCATGGCGGGGGAACACCAGTAATATCATGGCGGGGAACACCAGTAATATCATGGCAGGGGAACACCAGTAATATCATGGCGGGGAACACCAGTAATATATCATGAGGGGAACACCAGTAATATCATGGCGGGGAACACCAGTAATATCATGGCAGGGGAACACCAGTAATATCATGGCGGGGGAACACCAGTAATATCATGGCGGGGGAACACCAGTAATATCATGGCAGGGGAACACCAGTAATATCATGGCGGGGGAACACCAGTAATATCATGGCGGGGGAACACCAGTAATATCATGGCAGGGGAACACCAGTAATATCATGGCGGGGAACACCAGTAATATCATGGCGGGGAACACCAGTAATATCATGTAGGGGAACACCAGTAATATCATGGCGGGGGAACACCAGTAATATCATGGCAGGGGAACACCAGTAATATCATGGCGGGGGAACACCAGTAATATCATGGCGGGGGAACACCAGTAATATCATGGCAGGGGAACACCAGAAATCAGCTTCACACATTGAACCCATGTGGGAAATCGAACCCTGGTCTTCAGCATGACAAGCAAAGGGCTCAACCACTCGGCTACAGCACCGCCCTGCATTCTGTGGGAGCATGATGACACACCATAAAGCTGCCAAACCTGACCACCTGATCCACTTAGTTACCTGTGGTGATCATGATAGATTGATGGGGGTCAGTTATAAGTAAGAGACCCTATGCTATCAAGGATCAAGACATAAACTTATCTCTAGATTATATCAAACAGCACATCCAGTTAACAGAGATGAGTTTAGGCACAGTGCACCACACAGTTACCTTCTCCTTAATGATGACTGAAGATGCCAGGGAGTTTGTGTGATACACACAACCATCGTCTCACGTGGCTGAGACTCCATCTGCACCATCAGCTCACAGTGAATGCGCCTCAATCGGTCGTCTGAATGATATATCCTTTCAAAATCCTCAATGATGATGACACTGTCCTTTTTCTCACTTGCCATCCTGAAGAGTTCTTGAACATTCCTGCAAGAGGGAGTGAGTGATTGAGTGATTGAGTGAGTGAGTGAGGTTTTACGCTGCTATTAGCAATATTCCAGCAACATCACAGCTGGGGACACCAGAAATGTGCTTCACATATTAATTGTACCTATGTTGCAAATATATTAGCCCTGTCTTCAGCATGATGTAAACATTTGGCTACCCAGCCCACCTCATCGCAATCACTACACATTGGTCAATAATTCTGTGAACTCTAGCACATTTGCATATACCGACTGCTGAATCTAACTTAACACGGTATTTCTTAACATCTGCAATAACAATTGGTAAGCTGAAACATTTTTGCTCAAGACTGACTAGTATGCGCATGCGCGTCTCTCTCTCACGTAACCCCTAAGTCAGGAAGATGGTTCATGGAATTACACTCAAACTTCACCTTACAGGTAAGTCTTGCTTAATTTTGTAATTATACTGATTCTGAACTAGTTGGCATTAACAGCAATTAAGTGCATTCGGATATGTACAGTATCTAATCATGTTGTTACATGCCGATGGAGATTATTCAAAGTTTATTTGTAGTGATTATAAGTGGTAACAAATAACTTTGACAATAACGGGTCTGAGAATCGAAACGTCGCTCTATGCAATAAACAAGAAGTTGTCATCCATAAAGATGTATGCCTCATCTATGACTAGAATGCTCGTCTAATATATAAAGGTATATCACAGTTAGATTTAATAAGAACTGTTATTAGAGTTACCTCCCCTGGTTTACCAATTTTAACACGTTTCAGGTATGGACGGTTTCTTGAAGCTGTTTAGCGATATGAGAAAGAGTGAGTGAGGGAGTACTATTCTCAAAAATATACAAAAATCTCACAACTCTACAACGCATTGCACCACTTAGGAACAACTTACATCATGAAACTATGTACAATGTGTTGGAGAGAGCGAGTGATTATGGTTTGACGACACTTTTAGCAATATTCCAGCAATATCACGGCGGGGGACACCAGAAATGGGCTTCACACATTGTACCCATGTGGGGAATCGAACCCAAGTCTTCAGCGTGACGAGCCAACGCTTTAACCACTAGGCTACCCCACCACCCCCGTGAAGTTAGAAATAACGACGTAGCTGCTGAAGCTGTTTATTATTGTAAGGGGCAGAGTATGAGGTGGGTCTTTGGCGTTTATGAGCCAACACCTTAACCACCGGCCCTATAAGAAAAAGACATAGAGGAGATGCAAGTATTTTCACAACCTAACTTGCTTCTAATCTTATTGTCAAGTGTGGATTGGGTATCAGAAAATTTGAAATTCCTGTCACCTATATAAACTATTTAAGATTCAAGAAGGAAACACAGGCCTTAAGACATCCAACAGTGACAGATTCTGATCTGGATAATACTGGAACACATTACTGGACTTATTTCACCCGTTGTATTGCACTGCATCTAAAGAAGAGTGTCATAATATTATTGGTAAATCGCTCATTGATTTTGTATGGTGATTTCCTGGTTTCACAATTTGTATGCACAGATTTCTGGGTTCATCTTTGTAATGTTTTCCAACCTGGCCATTGAGCATGAGCACCTACCCGTGAAGGTCCGGGTTAGAATATTGGCCTTCAGTAACCCATGCTTGTCGTAAGAGGCGACTAACAGGATCGGGTGGTCAGGCTCGCCGACTTGGTTGACACATGTCATCGGTTCCCAACTGCGCAGATCGATGCTCATGCTGTTGATCACTGGATTGTCTGGTCCAGAGTCGAATATTTACAGACCGCCGCCATATAGCTGGAATATTGCTGAGTGCGGCGTAAAATTAAACTCACTCACTCACTCAGCATGAGCACCTAATTGATTTAGCTGCCTCTTATGACAAGCATAGATCATCATCATCAAATGAGATGAACACCAGCCTCATGACTAAAGGGGTGCATGGCTAACCTACATACCGTTCTTCATCAGGTGCGGACTTGGTCATGAAATCGTATACAGACAACTTGAAGAAAGTAACTTCCGGAATCATAGAGGCACAAGCTCTCAGTGCCATTGTTTTCCCCGTCCCTGGATGCTGAAACAATAAGCACTTCTAGATTCATGTTCCCCCATGCAACCACTTCGTAGATCCCTAGATTCTTCTAACAAACATTTACCCAATGCAACCACTTGTTAGATCCCTAGATTCTTCTAACACACATTTTCCCCATGCAACCACATCTTAGATCCCTAGATTCTTCCAACTCACATTTCCCGATTGCAACCACTTCTTAGATCTCTAGATTCTTCTAACACACATTTCCCGATTGCAACCACTTCTTAGATCCCTAGATTCTTCTAACACACATTTTCCTAATGCAATCACTTCTTAGATCCATAGATTCTTCTAACACACATTTTCCTAATGCAACCACTTCGTAGATCCCTAGATTCTTCTAACACACATTTCTTAATGCAACCACTTCGTAGATCTCAAGATTCTTCTAACACACATTTTCCTAATGCAATCACTTCTTAGATCCATAGATTCTTATAACACACATTTTCCCCATGCAACCACTTCGTAGATCCCTAGATTCTTCTAACACACATTTTCCTAATGCAATCACTTCTTAGATCCCTAGATTTTTCTAAAACACATTTTCCTAATGCAATCACTTCTTAGATTCCTAGATTCTTCTAACACACATTTTTCTCATGCAACCACTTCTTAGATCCCTAGATTCTTATAACACACATATCCGCAATGCAACCACTTCTTAGATCCCTAGATTCTTCTAACACACATATCCCCAATGCAACCACTTCTTAGATCCCTAGATTCTTCTAACACACATTTTTCCAATGCAACCACTTCTTAGATCCCTAGATTCTTATAACACACATTTCCCCAAAGCAACCACTTCTTATATCCCTAGATGCTTCTAACACACATTTTTCCAATGCAACCACTTCTTAGATCCATAGATTCTTCTAACACACATTTTCCCCATGCAACCACTTCGTAGATCCCTAGATTCTTCTAACACACATTTTCCCCATGCAACCACTTCGTAGATCCCTTGATTCTTCTAAAACACATTTTCCTAATGCAATCACTTCTTAGATCCCTAGATTCTTCTAACACACATTCCCCTAATGCAACCACTTCTTAGATCCCTAGATTCTTATAACACACGTATCCCCAATGCAACCACTTCTTAGATCCCTAGATTCTTCTAACACACATTTTTCCAATGCAACCACTTCTTAGATCCCTAGCTTCTTATAACACACATTTCCCCAAAGCAACCACTTCTTATATCCCTAGATTCTTCTAACATACATTTTTCTAATGCAACCACTTCTTAGATCCCTAGATTCTTATAACACACATATCCGCAATGCAACCACTTCTTAGATCCCTAGATTCTTCTAAAACACATTTTTCCAATGCAACCACTTCTTAGATCCCTAGATTCTTCCAACACACACTTCCCCAATGCAACCACTTCTTAGATCCCTAGATTCTTCTAACACACATTTTTCCAATGCAATAACTTCTTAGATCCATAGATTCTTATAACACACATATCCGCAATGCAACCACTTCTTAGATCCCTAGATTCTTATAACACACATTTTCCTAATGCAATCACTACTTAGATCCCTAGATTCTTTTAACACACATTTTCTTAATGCAACCACTTCTTAGATCCCTAGATTCTTCTAACACACATTTTCTTAATGCAACCACTTCTTAGATCCCTAGATTCTTCTAACACACATTTTCTTAATGCAACCACTTCTTAGATTCCTAGATTCTTCTAACACACATTTTTCTCATGCAACCACTTCTTAGATCCCTAGATTCTTCTAACACACATATCCGCAATGCAACCACTTCTTAGATCCCTAGATTCTTCTAACACACATTTTTCCAATGCAACCACTTCTTAGATCCCTAGCTTCTTATAACACACATTTCCCCAAAGCAACCACTTCTTATATCCCTAGATTCTTCTAACATACATTTTTCTAATGCAACCACTTCTTAGATCCCTAGATTCTTATAACACACATATCCGCAATGCAACCACTTCTTAGATCCCTAGATTCTTCTAAAACACATTTTTCCAATGCAACCACTTCTTAGATCCCTAGATTCTTCCAACACACACTTCCCCAATGCAACCACTTCTTAGATCCCTAGATTCTTCTAACACACATTTTTCCAATGCAATAACTTCTTAGATCCATAGATTCTTATAACACACATATCCGCAATGCAACCACTTCTTAGATCCCTAGATTCTTATAACACACATTTTCCTAATGCAATCACTACTTAGATCCCTAGATTCTTTTAACACACATTTTCTTAATGCAACCACTTCTTAGATCCCTAGATTCTTCTAACACACATTTTCTTAATGCAACCACTTCTTAGATCCCTAGATTCTTCTAACACACATTTTCTTAATGCAACCACTTCTTAGATTCCTAGATTCTTCTAACACACATTTTTCTCATGCAACCACTTCTTAGATCCCTAGATTCTTCTAACACACATATCCGCAATGCAACCACTTCTTAGATCCCTAGATTCTTCTAACACACATTTTTCCAATGCAATCACTTCTTAGATCCCTAGATTCTTCTAACACACATATCCCTAATGCAACCACTTCTTAGATCCCTAGATTTTTCTAACACACATTTTCCTAATGCAACCACTTCTTAGATCCCTAGATTCTTCTAACACACATTTTCCTAATGCAACCACTTCTTAGATCCTTAGATTCTTCTAACACACATTTTCTTAATGCAACCACTTCTTAGATTCCTAGATTTTTCTAATGCACATTTTCTTAATGCAACCACTTCTTAGATTCCTAGATTTTTCTAATGCACATTTTCTTAATGCAACCACTTCTTAGATTCCTAGATTTTTCTAATGCACATTTTCTTAATGCAACCACTTCTTAGATTCCTAGATTTTTCTAATGCACATTTTCTTAATGCAACCACTTCTTAGATTCCTAGATTTTTCTAACACACATTTTCTTAATGCAACCACTTCTTAGATTCCTAGATTTTTCTAATGCACATTTTCTTAATGCAGCCACTTCTTAGATTCCTAGATTTTTCTAACACACATTTTCTTAATGCAGCCACTTCTTAGATTCCTAGATTTTTCTAACACACATTTTCTTAATGCAACCACTTCTTAGATTCCTAGATTTTTCTAACACACATTTTCCTAATGCAGCCACTTCTTAGATTCCTAGATTTTTCTAACACACATTTTCTTAATGCAGCCACTTCTTAGATTCCTAGATTTTTCTAACACACATTTTCTTAATGCAGCCACTTCTTAGATTCCTAGATTTTCTAACACACATTTTCTTAATGCAGCCACTTCTTAGATTCCTAGATTTTTTCTAACACACATTTTCTTAATGCAGCCACTTCTTAGATTCCTAGATTTTCTAACACACATTTTTCTTAATGCAGCCACTTCTTAGATTCCTAGATTTTTCTAACACACATTTTCTTAATGCAGCCACTTCTTAGATTCCTAGATTTTTCTAACACACATTTTCTTAATGCAGCCACTTCGTAGATCCCTAGATTCTTCTAATGCACATTTCCCCCATGCAGCCACTTCTTAGATCCCTAGATTTTTCTAACACACATTTTCTTAATGCAGCCACTTCTTAGATCCCTAGATTTTTCTAACACACATTTTCTTAATGCAGCCACTTCTTAGATTCCTAGATTTTTCTAACACACATTTTCTTAATGCAGCCACTTCTTAGATTCCTAGATTTTTCTAATGCACACATCCCTAATGCTGCTATGATCCCTAGATTCTCCTGAAACATGTGTTATATAAGAATAACTATCAAATTGTGACAGACACCAGGCAATCCTGAAAAAGGTTAGAGTATCCTGCTTCACTGGTGGCACCCACAAATGCAAAGGCAAGTGAGTAAGAAACTAGGGTCCCTTTCCTCAAAGCGATCGTAGCACTACGACAGTCGTAAGCCTATGTTAAAGTATGGGAGTTACGTTCACCTTTGCGCTACGATCGTTTTGTGGAACGGGGCCTAGGTTACTAGGAGTTGTTTACCAAGTAAATAAGAACAGTTCAGTATTTGGTCACTTACCCCAAAAATCAGCAGATGCCTTGGCATCCGATAACGCTCTGAAATGTCACAATATTAAATCACAACATTGATAATATCAAGGTCCAAGTCAAAATAGGGATTTCACATGGTATACATGATAAATTTGTTTTCTCTTGTTCATTCACGCAAAGCAAAACAATTACATGTACTTTTTTTACTACCTGAACCAAAAATGAGCTAACCCCTTTCTACAGACAGCCTTTTTAGGTCCTCAAAATTTGGCTTATTTACAGTCATATATACACTTATATAAACAATGGTGTTTTTAATAGCTACGTTATTGGTCTCACTTTCGAAATCCTGTGATTACCTTGGCAAATGCATTTTGCATGTGCTTCTCCAGGTGCCGGTGGAAGTGGGGTCGCCCAGTGGTTAAAGTGTTTACTCTTCACTCGGGTTCAATTCCCCACATGGATACAATGAGTGAAACCCATGGTGTCCCCTGCTGTGATATTGCTGGAATATTGCTAAAAGCTGGGTCAAACTCTCACTCTCTCTCGAGGTGAGGTGAGGTGAGGTGAAATTGGGTTTAACGTCGTGCTTGAGAATATTTCGCTCACATGACGACGTGCATGCGTGTGTATGTGTGTGTGCGGCTGCTTGTACTAGCCCAGACTGAAGCTGGTTTTATAGTGCCAGCCCACTGAGATACCATGCCGCAGTGAAGCATGAATACCCCACTCAGACACATTATACTGACTCCGAGCCGACCAGTCCTTGTTGTACCAATTAATGCCGAGCGCCAGGCAGGGACCAACAAGAACCATATTTTAACGTCTTTTGGTATGACGCGGTCGGGGATCGAACCCGCGACCTTCCGCTCTCCGGGCGGACGCTCTAACCACTACACCACGGAGGCGGTCCTTCTCTCGAGATGCAGAAGAACATACATGAGAGTATTGTAAAAGTAATCCTATCTTGTCAAATGCCTGAATTAAGTATTTGAGAGAGTGTTTGTCCTTCTACCTACTGATTTGTCTCATTTCTAATCTGATTGTATGCACTTTTGCAAACATTATTCCCATGATTACCTAACGAATCAATGATCATATCTACATTTCATGCATGCATGCATGGTTGAATAATACTGTCCCCAAAATGTACGATGGGAAACAGTAGCTTGGACTTCATTAGTTTCAAACTGATGATCCAAATTTCAATTTTGTCATTTTTCAGTTTGAGGATGTTAGTTATCATCAAACTTTAAATGTTGATTTCTCGAAACAAACTTAAGTTTTTACTCAAATTTCAAACTGAGTTTGACAATTTAAAACAGCTGAATTTTAACTCAGCTGCATTTTTAAAATTAAAAAGGCCCAAACAACTTCAGTATTCTATTCACCAAACTCAAATTGTCTACTATGTTTGACTTTAATATCGATTTCAGTTCATTCTGGGAAATGCGTTTTCTCAAATTTGAGTAAAAACTATAACTTGAGTCTCAAAACTCAAGACTTAAGTTTCGTTTCAAGAAATCGGGGCCAGATTGTGATTCTCAGGAATGTCTCCTTAACTGAGGATGGTGGCTGTAGTTTGAATCCAACAGAGGTGTGAATCATCAGCATACAGATGAAAACTGAGATTATGAGATTTGCAATTCTTTAAATAGGCAGGGTGTGTATACAGGGGGCACTGGGGTAGCCTAGTGGTTAAAGTGTTCGCTTATCATGTCGAAGACCCAGGTTCGATTCCCCACATGGGTACAATGTGTGAAGGTCATTTCTGGTGTACCCTGGAATATTACCAAAAGCCGCGTAAAATTAAACTCACTCACTCATATAGGGAAAAGCACTGGGTCAAGAACAGATCCCTGTGGTACTCTATTTCATGCCTGATACCAAGTAGTATGGATCAATCAAATAGATAAATATTCATTTTCATTTTTGCTTGATTTTTTGTTTGTTGTTAAAGCCAAACTGAAAAACATGTAATTGTGGCTTGTATATATTGAAGTCTGAAACTTCTCGGAATCTTCTCCTAACTCTGAAGATATTTCAGGAACATAGAAGACTTGAATGTATAGATGCAGATGCACATATCCACTGTCAGTGTATATTAAGGCTGAGACGGGTCCAAATTTTCTACCCAGGAACCCCACCCCCTGTTACCCTATCCTACCCTGATACCCATATGTAAATTCCTGACATCAAATTTGTAATAAATGGCAATATATTCTTCAGCTTAGAGGCTAAAATTGGGTGCAACGTTTTATGAGATATCGTGTTTCCTGACATTAAATTTGTAATAAATGGCAATATATTCTTCAGCTTAGAGGCTAAAATTGGGTGCAACGTTTTATGAGATATCGTGTTTACGTCAGGTTGACAAGTGGTCAAAGTGTCATGGTGACTTTGAAGATAAGGTCAAGATCACCCAATTCGACTAGTGTCTGTGTAATCCACCAATGTAGGCTGTCACCAAGTTTGAAGACATTGGGTACGACAGTTCATGAGATATCATGTTAACAAGAATCAGGATGTACGTATGGAAGCTGCTGTCAGAATACATACTACCCAGGGACAATTACTGATCATTCCAGATCTTCTACAGAGGAGTTGACCTGTGAAGATGCGGGTTAGAATTGGTCTTCAGCAATCCACTCTTGTCGTAAGAGGCGACTAACAGGATCGTGTGGTCAGCTGGCTCGCTGGATTGGTTGACACATGTCATCGTATCCCTACTGCTTAGATCGATTCTCATGCTGTTAATCACAAGAATGTCTGGTCAAGACTCCATTATTTACAGACCGCTGCCATATAGCTAGAATATTGCTGAGTACAGCATTAAACACCAACCAACCCACTATGAAGGAGATGTTACATTCACACACAGAGAAGTGTAATATCAGACAAAGAGATCCGACTTTGATAGGATTAGAACAGGGCCCACTTGCACAGAGCAACCTTAGTTACAATCAATCTTATGTCCCTAGAATCAACTGTACAATCACCATACAATTGCCCTAATCCATTTGCACAAAGCCGATCTTAGCTCGATTGTAAGACGGCATGGATTTAAGATCACGATCTTAACTAAGATCGAACTCTTCAACGGTGGAGGTACGAATTTCTTAAACTCGATTCCTGTCTACAGTTGTCGGCAAGTGCGCATAGCATTCTGCGCAAATAAAAAGTGGAACTGGTTACTGCACACATAGACTAAGACTAGCATTAACTAAAATTAGCTGCCCTTGAGTTATTGAAAAGGTCATGGCCATTGTTAATCGCTTGCAGACACAGATAGTTACAATCCTTTCCTTGATTATCAAAAAGGTATGTTGTTTCACACTTCTTTCACCACTGACCCGGGTGGGAATAGTACTTTATGATATTGACTCGATAGTTATGCAGTTCACTACCGCAAATAACAATGTTTCTGACGTTAAATCGGTGGTGCATTCTCCGTGTTGTTGAAGTGTCGAGGCGAATCATACAGTTTTATGCAATATAAAAGCAATCTCCAAACATAAAGCTGACACTAACTTGAACGCCATTTTGTCACAGACTACAATGATCTTAGCTCGATTGTAACTTACAATGATCTTAGCCTACAATCGCTTTGTGCAAGTGAATGGCGACAGAAGCGAAGCCTAAGATCGCGACCTTAAGGATTTACAATAATTGTAGCGCTAAGATTGCTCTGTGCAAGTGGGTCTTTTATTACATGTCATCAAACATCAGGATCCCTGAAGCAACTAATACCAGAATCAATACTTACCAAATAATCTAGGAAATTTGTAAGGCAGAACGAGTTTTTCCATGAGCCAATTTAAAGCATCTTCTTGTCCAACAATACTGGACTTGTTCACTTTTTCATTTGGATCTTGTATGAACCCTGCAAAATATGACTCGAGAATCACTTCCATGTCAGAGTAGTGGACTGTGTCAGTGTACCTTCTACCATGTGTCAGTGTACCTTCTAGCAGGTGTCAGTGTACCTTCTAGCAGGTGTCAGTGTACCTTCTAGCAGGTGTCAGTGTACCTTCTAGCAGGTGTCAGTGTACCTTCTAACATGTCAGTGTGTCACTTCTAGCATGTGTCTTCTAGCAGGTGTCAGTGTACCTTCTAACATGTGTCAGTGTACCTTCTAGCAGGTGTCAGTGTATCTTCTAGCAGGTGTCAGTGTACCTTCTAACATGTGTCAGTGTACCTTCTAACATGTGTCAGTGTACCTTCTAGCAGGTGTCAGTGTACCTTCTAACATGTGTCAGTGTACCTTCTAGCAGGTGTCAGTGTACCTTCTAACATGTGTCAGTGTACCTTCTAGCAGGTGTCAGTGTACCTTCTAGCAGGTGTCAGTGCACCTTCTAGCAGGTGTCAGTGTACATTCTAGCATGAGTCAGTGTACCTTCTACCATGTGTCTTCGTACCTTCTAGCAGGTGTCAGTGTACCTTCTAGCATGTGTCAGTGTACCTTCTACCATGTGTCAGTGTACCTTCTAGCAGGTGTCAGTGTACCTTCTAGCATGTGTCAGTGTAACTTCTAGCAGGTGTCAGTGTACCTTGTAGCAGGTGTCAGTGTACCTTGTAGCAGGTGTCAGTGCAACTTTTAGCAGGTGTCTGTGTACCTATGAGTATGTGTCAGTGCACCTTCTAGCAGGTGTCAGTGTACCTTCTACCATGTGTACCTTCTAGCAGGTGTCTGTACTTTCTAGCAGGTGTCAGTGTACCTTCTAGCAGGTGTCAGTGTATCTGTGTACCTATGAGCAGGTGTCAGTGTACCTTCTAGCAGGTGTCAGTGTACCTTCTAGCATGTGTCAGTGTACCTTCTAGCAGGTGTCAGTGTACCTTCTAGCAGGTGTCAGTGTACCTTCTAGCAGGTGTCAGTGTACCTTCTAGCAGGTGTCAGTGTACCTTCTAGCAGGTGTCAGTGCACCTTCTAGCAGGTGTCAGTGTACCTTCTACCATGTGTCTTCATACCTTCTAGCAGGGGTCAGTGTACCTCGATGCAGGAGTCAGTGTACCTCTGTGCAGGGGTCAGTGTACCCACCAACAGGTGTCAATGTACCTAAAAGTAGGTGTCAATGTATCTACACTCAGTTGTCATTATACCCATCAGTAGGTGTCAGTGTACCTATGAGCAGGTGTCAGTGTACCTACAAGTAGGTGTCAGTGTGCCTACCTGCCAAGTATTCCCTCCTTTGTGTGACTTCATCTGTGACTCCTGACGACTGAGGAGCCTCACCAGCTTCTCTATAAAACATAATAAACAGAAGGGAAAAAATGTTAAACAATAATAACATTAATTCCAGGATTTATATGCCTTTATGCACTTAGAAACAATGAAAAAACTCTCCACTCCATGTAAATTATGGGCAAGTTTCACTTGAAGTTAAAGGAGTAAAAGTACAGTGGAAGCTGTCAAAACCGGCAGCTGTCCAATCCGGCAAGTTGTCAACACCGGCATAAAATCTCAGTCCACCCGTGGCTAGTACATTTTTCATCATTTAAAAGCTCTGCAATCCGGCAGCTGTCAATTCTGGATCTCGGCATGAAACGAGCCGACCGAATATGTGTTTATACAGTAATCAGAGCTTTCTAATCCAGCAAGTGGCAAGGAGTAAGTAATCCTGTGTTGAAACTACATGGTTGCTGACAAAGATAATTTAATCTTAGGTCAGTATGGGTGTACTTGTATATGTAATGAGGAGTTGAGAGAGAAATTGAGAGAACCACGTTATACAACAATGTATATGAGAGTGATAAAACTGGTTCAGTTCTAGTCGTAGGTAACCGTGTCAGCTCTACAATCTGGTATGCTGTCTAAACCGGATTATTTCTTCAGTCCCAATGTGTGCCGGTTTAGACAGCTTCCACTGTAGTTGTAATACTAGTAGCAGTTTTCCTAGTAGTAGAGGTAGTAGCAGTAGTAGCAGTAGCAGTAGCAGTAGCAGTAGCAGTAGCAGTAGCAGCAGCAGTAGTAGTAGTAGTAGGAGAAGTAGTAGTTGTAGATGGAGGAGGAACATAGGTAGTGGTGGTGGTGGAAGTAGAACTAGCAGCAGTTGTAGGAGTATGATAGATGGAGTAGTAGTAGTAGTAGTAGCGTGCCATGAAATTTATGAATGCCATGCTGGGATTCAAACCACGGACCTTCTGATCCAAAGTCCTACGCCTTGTCTGTGACAGGAGTAGTAGTAGTAAGTAGTAGTAGTAGTGACCATGAATTTCTGAATACCATGCAGGGATTCAAACCACGGACCTTCTGATCCAAAGTCCTACGCCTTGTCTGTGACAGGAGTAGTAGTAGTAGTAGTAGTAGTTGTAGATGGAGAAGGAACATAGGTAGTAGTGGTGGTGGGAGTAGAACTAGCAGCAGTTGTAGGAGTATGATAGAGGGAGTAGTAGTAGTAGTAGTAGTAGTAGTAGTAGTAGTAGTAGTAGTAGTAGTAGTAGTAGTAGTGGGTTCGAACCACGGACCTTCTGATCCGAAGTCCTATGCCTTGTCTATGTGACCAAAGAGGTTAACGCCGTCAGAAAGCAAGGAAGTCAGCTGTGACTCCACGCCCTGCTGCAGTAGTAGTAGTGGTTGTAGAAGGAGGAGGTAGTGGTGGTAGTAGACCTAGCAGCTGTTGTAGGAGTACGATAGAGAGCGTTGTAGGAGCAGTAGTAATTGTAGTGGTAGTGGTATTATTATCATTATTATTATTATTATTATTATTATTATTATTATATATTTATATAGCGCACTAGTGCATGCTCAAGGCACTGGTATTTGGAGGAGGGACAAAGGTAGTAGTAGTCGTAGCAACAGCTAATATAATGTGGCAATGGTGTAGTAGTAGTAGTAGGAGTAGCAGCAGAAGTAGTAGATGCTGGTGGTGGTTGTAGTGCTGTTAGTAGTAGGTGGTAGTCACAGTAGAACTTAGATGAAGTGATAGTAGCATGTTTCTCTCACCTTTCTCCTTTGATTTTGTCCTTTAAATGTTCTGCTTTGGTCAATAAGACTCGTATCTTAGTGTCCAATAAAGCTTTTATATTTCCCTTCTTGCCAATTTCTGAAAAATATACACAATAACAATATTGATTATAGAGTGTGCACAAAAAAGATCCATCAATATCATTGTATGCAACATTTGATATCTATTTTGACAAATTGGAGTTATGCAAATCTTAAAATGCATTGTCTGAAAATCTCATGATTTACATGAAACCACCTACTAGACCTAGGTGGTGCACCAAAGATGTTCAAGTTGGATAAGGGATGTTAATCCACTTGCACCAGGTCTAGAGATAAAAACCTAGTTGCAAGGCAGGTGTTATTATTGCAATATGTAAATCAGAAATATGCCATTGAATTAATTAGATGTTCTACAGAAGTTTACCCCTCTGACTTGCACCTGGTGATGTTCAACTAGGTTGTTGTTTACCCCATCAGAATCATGTAAAAGAATACAAGAACAGTGTACAAATCTACTTAGACAAGTCACAGCACAATAAACCAGGAGATCGTAATAATAATAATAATAATAATTTATTTATAAAGCGCCTAATATCCACCGTAGATCTGTTCAGTGGCGCTGTGACAATATCGGGGAAGGAAACATTGAACATATTGGATTTACAGAAAGGCAGCAGTGAACAGATGGGTCTTTGGCAGAGATTTAAAAGTTTCTTTCAATGAAGTGTTCCTGATTTCCTTTGTTATAAACAAATATTACAAGTTGTATCCTTTCCTAGCCACTCACCAGTTTCTTGAATGTTAATCAAGCAGTCGTTTTTTCATTTGAAACAGGATTAAACAGGAAGCTGAAAGTTGTATATTTTACATTTTCAACCTCAGGGCTCGATTTAAGGAAATGAAACCTACATACTTCCCCCCTGTGCAACATTAGGCAATAACCTCGTTGCACCAGACAAAATCAAATTGCGAAAAAAACCTGCTGCTCAATAAAATTACATATTATCCTTGAGTGTTAAACTGATGATCTAAAACATCATTATAACAAAATTAGTTGGGGTCTGATAAGATCACTTTAGGGACCGTTCATAATTTATGGCTAGGGGGTGATGATGATGATGATGATTTTATGATTATTGGGGAGCCATTTTGGGGAGGTCCATCAATTTTGTACACATGTACTAGGGGTCATCAATTTTGTACATAAAAATATTTGAAAATTTTGTGTGAAAAATATCTGAAGGGGAGGGGTCATTGATTTTGTACATGACAAGCAGGGGGCACTTACTTTGTACAATAAATTTTAGGGTGTTCAGTCACATTGTACATGCTTCTCCATAAAAATCATCATCACCCCCAGTCACGGTCCCGCTCAGCCATAAATTATGAACGGTCATCCAGTCATTGTACAGTTCATATAATGAAGCAGAAGTCTGTGTTCTTTCAACGGCAAACTATTAACATGTACTGGGTGAAAGTTGGTATAAACATGATAAATATGAGGTTGCACTTTATAGTTTTAGACTACTCCAGTGCAAGTTCTAAATGCTTAAAATTAAGCCCTGAAAAACTTTCACTGATTTTCAAGCCAAATTGTTTTGAAAATCAATTAATAATAAAAATATAGGAGTACTTTTCACATCAAACCTTAAAAGGGACTGAGGGGTAGTGGTTAAGCGCTCATTTGTCAAGTGAAAGGCCCAGGTTAAATTCTCACATATGTACAATGTGTGAAGATGTGTGTCCTCTCTGTGATATTCCTGGGATATTGCTAAAAGTAGTGTAAAACCCAACTCACTCACTCACCTATTTCCTTAGACGCATCATGCAGAATGTGAATTCCCTCCTTGTAGAGTCTGAAGGACTCTGGTAAGTCTGATTTCTTCTCTCTCTCAGCTGCTTGTGTCAGTATATCCACTGCTGCAGCTATCTTCTGACGAAGAGTCTATGAACGACACAAACTATTTTACAGCATGTTACACTGACCCAATCAAACATTATACACCATTTCAGCTTACTTTAACATAGTTTAACATCAACAAGACATGAAGAGATGTGATGTGACAGATTTTTTCAAATTGCACAGTGACATTTGTTATGATTTGTTGAAATAACACCTAACATATTGAACAGAGCTCCAGATAAGATTTAGCTCATGTGGGTACTGTACCCACTGTATTTTTTTGGAGTGGGTATTATGAATGTTGAGTGGGTATTTCATTTTCCGTTACCCACTGCTTTCAAATATGTGCGTATTTCAGTCATTTTACTCACCGAAGTATTATGTGACTGAGTAAGTTTACTTAGCAGGTATGTTCTGCCTTATGTCAAACCTAATCAAAACCAACATAAACATAATGGAAATGATTTCATAAAAAATCGCTCATCCTATACTGACAGTACAACACTTGTCCTGTACTAAGAGTACAACTTGATAGCAATCGATGTCTTTTTCATTACGCAAGCGATTTTTATAAATATATTCCATATGCATTTGTTTTAAACTTTTTGCCTATCTAACATTTTAAATGCGTAATTGGTACGCAACAATTATTTTTCAATGCGAAATTGGAAATTTCACATGCGTATTTTACCTGGATATGCAGCTTATCTGGGCCTCTGTTGAATAAATTATCTTTCAGGTGGTTGTAATGAGCTAATGATCATGCTTTAAATTCATGTACATTAACTATTTATTTGCTGACTGGTGATTAAAAAATGACTGATTTGCAAACTTTTAGCTATTCAAGGACACAATGCAAACCAAAAAACAAACAGTAAGGTAAACAATGGTAACAATGAACTGGAATTCTAGTTTTGCGCATTTTAACTATCAGATATTTTGAATCAATCTTATGAGTACTTCATGAGACTCGATCAATAACAAAATTGTGTTTTGAATAATTTTTATGCATCTCATTCATAACATAAGTACATCCACATTATATTTATGTTATAATTTTTTTTTTAATTTCAAATATTTATTCCTGTAAAGAAATTAGATAGTCAAGATGTGTGTATTGTACAGAAGAAAAGTAAAATATGAATGAATGAATGAATGAATGAACAAATAAATCTTTCACACATTCATACCCATGCATACACACCAACAAGTGAATAAAGTCATGGTTTTTCATTAACTAAATTTTCATACATTGACCATTTCCTTTAAAAGTCATTATACATACCTTTGTTGCAAAATCTTACTTTATCTAGCAAATAATAGTATTTCATTTCTTTCTTAAAGTGGTATAAGTGATTATAATTATCTCAATTATTAGGGCCATGGGTTAGCCTAGTGATTAAAGTGTCCGTTCATCATGCTGAAGTCCTGGGTTGAATTCCCCACATGGGCACAATGTGTGAAGCCCATTTCTGGTGTCCCCTGCTGTCATATTGCTGGAATATTGCTAAAAGTGGCGTTAAACCAAACTCACTCAGTGACACTCACTCACTAAATTTTTTTTTAGAGAGTTTCCCATACATTTGTTGAACATTGATGTCTAAAGCTTTCAAGGTGTGTCTTTCAATGTAACTTAATATCAGTACTCAGAATTTCCAAACATAGAATGAGAAACATACTTTCTTAAGTTGAATTTGATTGTTCATTTTTTTGTCTCCCAAACAAATTGATCATGCACGTGAGATTGATCGATTGACTGATTATTTGAATAATCACTGATCCAGCACTACCCCTGAATATGACCAAATACTGATTTCCAACATTTTACCTATTAAAGTGCAACAACAACTTTTCTGTAAATGAATATTGAGCACTAACATTATCTTTTGGTGTCTCCTGTTTGTCCTGTTGTTCCGCATCTCCACTGCCGGACTCGTCTCCATCAATGTGAGACGCGAGATCGTCTTCTGATCTACGTCCATCACCAGCATCACCACCGCACGCGCCTTCTACGACAGCACCACCACGACATTCAACATCGTTAACGGTGACATCTACAATGTCTGACAAATCAATGATACTTGTGTCTGTAACGTTGTTTTCACAACTACTAGATGCCATCTGTTGTTGGTATTAGTCGTTCCAACTTGTTGTTCCGTTTGTTGTTTGTTGTGAAGTCGAAGACTCCACTGTAGCACACTTTGTTATCAACGTCATCGGCAAAAGATTAACTAAACCATCCACAAGAATGACATTTCGCTGGGGATCAGGTAAACGATCAACAATCTACATGTTCTATTTATACGCCGTGACTACGGCTCGTGAGGCGACATTACTCAGAGTCAGCCGACACGGTTTGTTTACGTTTACCTGTGCGACCAACCACTTCCGGTGTTCATAAAACAGGTTAGACTTTGTGAAATATGCATCAGCTATATTTGACAGTCTTAAATATAGGCATTGTGATCTTTTGTATGACATTTTACTCATATTTATCTTCACGTAATCGAATGACAATGCAGTTTTAACGGTTATTTGCACCTTTAGGCATAGTTCGTGTGGTCTGCTCGAGAACAGATGGTTTTCTTACTTTAACCCTGAAGAGTTACTACTGAATTAGACTGGTCTTCTGTAATTGTGTCGCTGGGCGTACGGATACTGGGTAACCGTCTATTATGAAGCAGACATCAAATAACGGCTCTATGTGGAAGATGAGGGATCATTGCACAAAATATTAGGGGTGGGTATTGCCGAAAATTTTCATATTGCGATATATTGCGATGCGAAAGCATATATTGCGATATGTATTGCAATATATTGCAAGAATTCTTTTTAAAAAAACTACTTAAAATCGAGTTAATGCTTGATTTACAAAGCAAAAACACAACAAAATCACTATGCTTGATAAGGCTTTAATGAAAACTTTAAATCATGACAAAATAAAAATGCAAATAATGTTTGGAACAAATGAAACAAGGAAAGGAACAAATTAAAAAAACGGAAATATCCGAAGATTTCCGAGTGTTATGAAGTTTTCCGAATGCATGTCAAAATACCGGTTTTCGATCAGCGTATCGCAATACGTATCGTTCTCATGCCTAAACCTGTATATACCGGTAAACTGGTTATATTGCGCAGCCCTACAAAATATGGCATTCGCCTAAGATTCTTGAAAAGATTAACATGAGAACATGGTTTAGATAGTCTCACTAGTGTAAATGTAGCCACATACTTCAGTCAATTGTTCTAAAACTAGATTTTGCAATATATTCCACACTGTTTAAAGGTACTGTTTACACATGAACTGATGTATTGTAAAACAAATTCGTAACGTTGAAAAGTTTATCGTCATGAGTTCAATAAATGATGAAACTCATTTGGTGAATTCTTAACAAAACTTTACACCAAAACGCAACTTTTCACATGCACATTATTTGCACATGCTTTTCCGCAATTCAACCTTCCTTGACATACACATGATGTCTGCTTCAACGGTTCATAAATCGGGTCTGTGGATAGGCATTGGGCATTCTGTTTTCTGTAGTATAGTAGTTGTCTTTTTGTCTCCAAAAGAACTTAGCACCCTGTGCAAGTTTAATGATAACTAGTAATACATAATTCTAAGATGCATAGGGGCGGTTGAGTAACCAAGTGAGCTTTCGCTCGTCATGCCGAAGACCCGGATTCGATTCCCTACACGGGTATAATGAGTGAAGCCCATTTCTGGTGTCACACGCCGTGGTGTTGCTGGAATATTGCTAAAACGGCGTAAAACTAAACTCACTCAATCACTGAAGGTTGATTCAAAATATGGTAAAAGTCATAGCAAGAGGTTAGGAAAACACCTCCTACAACTAGTGTGCAATTTAATAAAGCTCATTTTCCAAATAACCATCAACAATCCTTGAACAATTTGTCCAAAACCAACATCTTAATAAACACTAGCTTTGGCTCAGTCTTCAAATATTAGTAACCTCCTCAAAAACTGATGATTTATAAGAAACATTACATCAATTCTGTGTTAAATGTATGTTTCAATATTTATCCCATTACATGAACAGTTTCTGTAAGTTATTCTGTTCCAGGGTGCCGTTCCACTAACCGATCTTAGCCCTATGCCAATCGTAAAACCCCTAAAATCCCAATCTTAGCGTGACGTTAAGATCGGCATACCGTTCCACTAACCAATCTTACCCAAGTCAATCGTAAAGTTAAGATTCAAAGTCTAAGTTGCTCATGACCAACTTAAGATAGCTAAAATCAATCGTAGCGAAACCAAAATGGTGGCTTTCCTATTCTATGTGAAAAATAAGAGCGAGCATTTCACCGTGAGCGTCCCCTAAAATCCCCCATGAAATGAATTTGTATATTTCTGTGACGTAAACAACTGAAGCCTTACAAATGTCAGGCCAGTCTGACCACTGTCGTCATGGGAACAACCGAGCGAGTCGGTGTAACACATTTGTACAACAATATTGCAACGTCATGGTTAAGAATAGGGACAGCCTTGAAGTGAACAATGTTCTGAAGCAAAAAGATACAAATATGCTTGATTTCACTGCGCATATTTGGTGGGAGATTCTAAAGGCAGGCCGCGTGTTATTCAAGCCTCGTCGCGCCTTGTTTATTCTGATTGACAAGGTTCAGGCACATATGAAAAGCTCTGACACAATTGACATTTTTAAAGTCCAGACTTAAAACCTGTTCTCAGTATATTACTTATAATCTCGGCTGTAAATATTCTCGTGTAAAATATCTGTACACAGCGCTTTGAGCATGCCCAAGGATGTGGAATAGGCGCACTATAAATATGCATTTATTATTATCATATTATGCTTGATACCCAGCGTTCACACGCACTTGCACCTGAAACCAAGGTGCTCACTACCCTAATATTTAGCTCTTGTTTTTTTCTCCACGTTTACACTTGGTTGGAAAAATACCCTTGAAGGCCCGGGTTAGAATATTGAACCCATGCTTTTCCACTAACTAAGAGGCCACTAACGGGATCGGGTGGTCAGGCTCGTTGACTTGGTTGACACATGTCATCGGTTCCCAACTGCGCAGATCGATGCGCATGCTGTTGATCACTGGATTGTCTCGATTATTGAGATATATAGCGTTCACTAACATGAACGCTCATGTTAGTGAACGCTATGCATCTTAGCTAGATTATTTACAGACCGCCGCCATATAGCTGGACTATTGCTGAGTGCGGCGTAAATCTAAACTCACTCACTCATTCAGTTGGTTCGTAAACTACTTCCATCATTTGCTAGACTATGCAAAGGGAGATAACTCGTGCCTCGCATTCCTCTATCTCTCGCACGAAAGAGTCTCGATCTAAGCTTGGATCGGATCGTAAGATCGGGACCGGCTACGATCGGCCTAAGATCGGTTAGTGGAACGGGTGTAACTTTTAGCTAAGACGACTGTAAAATTGGCGTAACTTGCTAAGATTGATCTGGATAATGCCTGACCAGGATGTGACCAAAACGTAGGGTTGCTTTATCAAATTCTCTGGATGTTGAAATAACTTTGATGAGTTATGATACTAGCAATCACTTTCAGAATTATCTTATTAGTAAATATATTATTTTAAAAATAAAACATCTAAAAGCAGGAGCCAACAAACTAAGTCATGATTTGTATAGTGTTTGTTTGCCTAGTTTTGCCTTAAAATCAACATGAATTTGATATGTCAATCAATTAAATAATTATTTATAATTGATTAGATTAGTATTTATTTATTACCCTTCCACATTTACTAAAAAGAGCAAGATTCTTAAAACATACCTTGCTATCATTTCCAGTGAATTAATCAAAATGACAATTGCAATATTGCTCCTAAAATGTACCAATATATGTGAATAAGTTTATGTTGTAACAAAACTTCAAATGTCCTCATAATTAAGATATACACTTTATATCACTCCGCCCAATACTCCAGAAAGTCACTATTCTTCTCAAATTGTTTTCGTATTCGCTCCACATAACGTAATTCAATTCAAAGTCCCATCCATCTCTTTATAAAAACTCTGAAATATTTGAAGCATAGTTCTATAGGCACTCATATGAATAAATTTTGATATTTGGATATTGCATGATAGGCAACAATATTACTCCTCGAATATTTTGCACTTTTAACAAGATACTGTGCAGTAGGCCTTCAGATTGCGCTTTTGAAACTTAAAACATCCTAAAATGTGTGACAAATTTAGGATTATCTAAGATCTATTTGTATCCGCCACATTGTTCTTTAATGTAACAAGTTTTGCTATTTCGGTCTACCCTAGAACCGAAATCAGATCGCTGTCAGATTTGTTTACATTGTGTCACGGCTTTCTCGCCTGTCTCACTTCAGCTTTATGGCGTGCCAACTCAATGCCCAGTAGTGACTAAAAACGTTAAGTAAAAACAATTTTGTAGTTACAAGAATTGTCCGTGTTTATAACACTTGCAAAGTCTTAAACTCCTATTTGTTGCCATCAATTGGTAATGATTTTGCACATGTGCAAAAGTGTGGAAATTCGTGCAAATTCTTATCTGCGGGCATGACGTAGGTTTCGTGAACGATGGTGCAGACAATTATCTGATCACGAGACCTATCGCGCTCCTTGATCCGCCTCAATTTGTTTTGTCTTGACCGTAACGTTTTTGTTAAAAGTACACATAAAATCACAGCAATATGTAATAGATATAGCGAGTGTAAATGGTATAATTCGAAGCATATTGTTTCGGAGGCATCGTTTGACCCCGGAAATAAGTCTGACAAATCCACACAGCGCACCCGGCCTTCTGATTGGCCAAAAGTGACGCATGCGTTAGTTTTGATTGACCGACTGGATCGGTCTATTACCTACGAGGGCGAACATATCGGGGTTCATATTCTTCATATGATGCCCTAGCAAAATATCACTTTGTCATGGTGACGTGACGTCATGAACAAGGCTATGACGTTACGTTTCTTCTGTGACGCTGCATTCTACATGCGGCGACGGCGGGTAGCCAGCCTGTGTTTGAAAGTAGATTTGGGTTTATCTACCTCAATTTGACGACTTCGGCAATAAACAGAATATTATATTCATGCCCATATCATACTATGTTTACGACACTCGTGCTAAATATCGGTATATCCTCACTCTCGCTCGGGAAATACCATCATTTAGGCACTCGTGTCGTAAACATAGTATGACATGGGCACTCATATAATATCCTCTA